CTCAAAAAACCAAGTACAGTTCACATAGTGTTACGGAATAAGGATCTGGTTAAAGTTAAGGATGAAGTGTCACAAATACCTCTTGGAACACTTAAATTCTTATTTACTGTTGCATTTTTCAGTATGCCACTTAGCATGATAATGAAGTTATCTCAGGTTCGATAACTACCAGTGAATCCTCTGATTTAGGGGTACTGGAACCCTTTGAAAATCGTGTTAGATACCATCTGATATTGTCAGGAATAACTGTGGCAAGAAACTACTTGTAGTAATTGTTTGAATGTTATTTTGAAGATCAAAGTTCTTTTAAGTTGCATTAAAGCTAACAATCACGGAAACATTTGACGAGAAGAATGAAAGTATTTTAAGAAAACCAGGATAAATTGTACCTAACTGTGAAAACACTAGAAGAAATGTAAGAAGCTTTAGAAAATTACGCACACCTTAAAAAAATGTGGAATACTGTCACTTTTATCAACACTTTTTCCGATGAGTTCTCCAAGGTCGCCGAATTTAGCCTATCACTATACTTGCATAAATTATCAGAAATTTGTTTCAAAAAGAGAACTATTTCAGTTCTTTAAGATACTGATAAATTAGTTATGAGAAGGTATGGCCAGAAAGATAGATAAAAGAATGAAAAATTGGTAACTCTAAGTCGCATTTCTTAATTTGAAGTCGATATTCATATACTCTGGTTGAGGTGTGTCGTGGGAGTTACAGGCAAGTATTTGGTAAAAACCGGGGTTGTGAGCTCGGAGTCATACTGTCATATAGAGGCTAACGTGGAGTTATCGTTTAAGGATGTGATAAACAGTGGTGTTTACCGACAAATCCACTATCACCGTTCCTTTGTGACTATATGCCACTCCATGAAGCATAAAGGGAAGCTTGGGTTTCAGGTCCGAGGGTTTGTAGATAGAATAAACTAACTTCTAGCAAATCTTGATGATATGAGTAAAAATCACATATTTAGTCATCTTCCTAATTCGGAACATTTTTACTATGCTTCGGCTGCTTATACTATCTAACTTCTTTAATATGCCGTGGTTGCCGTTACACAAAGTACGAGTCAGTAAAATTATTGCTTTTCGGGGAAAGTAAAGTTGATTTATTTATTTATGAAAAGCTTTTCTGCAGCTGGACCCTAGGTCTATAAGTACTTGTCACTTTTATGCAGTGGTTGGCACGTATGACATAGATGGGGAATAAAATTCCGAAATTCACTGGCATTTTGGAAACGTCTCACCTTTATTCATGGATATGCATGTTGAACATACCTAATCCAGGTAACACATAGTTTCAAAAGGATTTACATCTCTTCTTTAGTCAAATTGTGGTACATGCTATTGAACAAGTATCCAGTGAAGATGAGTATAATTATTGTGATAGTAATCCACCTTCAATAAATATAATAATGCTTCTTACCTGTTACCGTCCAGAATTTCTGATATGACTTCCCAATGAGCCTAAAATCTGTTGGTTGCTCAGCTGATTTTATCGTTCTTACTGACTATAACTGATAAGACTAACAAAATTCTAGCGACTAAATTAAATCGAATGGGATGTTTAAGACAACAACTTCAAGTGGCTCTCTATGCAGGACGACGGAACCATTTGTTGAGACTAGAAGTAACAAGTGTATCATCTGCTTGGATTTTCAACAACAGGCTAAGGATTTAGAATGGTAACAGTGATCTTCGTAAAGATGATGAAACGATAAACGAGAGAGTTCAAATAAACTGTCTGTTAGTATTCTGGTTTCTCATACCACTTAGAAGTTTCAGTAGTATAATTGAACGAAAAATAATTATAAATGAATATTTCCAGTGACAAATTGATAATACTTGCTGTTGATTATTTTTTGGGAAGTGATTTTAACTCTGAACATCCTGATCTTAGAAAAGTGTGACCGAGTTCTTATACTGGCTTCAGTTAAAAACTCTCTTTCTATTCTCCTGTGCTCCTTTCTGCCCTCATATTGTCCTACCTTACCACTTGTGATAAACGTCTTACCATTTTATCATTCTTATGGAAAGTGGAATCTTTCAGTCCTACCAACCCAGAGTTGACTGATGATAAAACTGTGAACCGGACATTGCTTCATCATTCTTACAGAACCCAAAGTATTTCTGTGCCACTGATAAAAATTAACAAGGAAAACTATTGATGACTAATTTTTTTAAATGGTTTCCCAAGTTAACAAATCTAAATAAGGCATGAAGAATGATTTTTTGCCAAAGCAGAAAAGGTGAAGCGTTTTCAGGAACTGCGTCAAGAAGTGGCCAAAAATGGCAGTCCCCATTCAAGATTATTCGCCGTTGGGGTAGAAATATTTTCTTTTCAGATCTTCATTTGTGTCCATGTATGGGCGAATTAATTTTGCTGAACAATTTTGTCCTTCAGCTGATTAGTGACCTAGTGGTTTCATTTTCTGAGTAGAAGCTGTATATAAATACTGTTTTTTGTCAGATAAGGTCGTTTTCCTTAAGTCAGTCACAGGCCCGTCTTTTGTCTTCTGGTTTTTGTGGTTCAGTGAAGTATCAGGTGTGGGAGGGAACAGTCGCATTACTCGTATCCAGTCCAAGTATCTTGTTGCGTAATTACTTGTTTCGCTTATTATTAGAACCCACATCCTACTCCGACTCAGTCACATCAAACTGCTAACCAGGTTATAATACATAAGGTAGAAAGCAAACTATGTTATTTTGGATTAGGGCACTGAAATTTATGAGTTACTTTTAGTGGTATCAATGTAAAACTTTTAGAGAGAGGCTCTGCAGATGCACGGCCCAACCGCTGAATTCATTTCTTACCCACATTCTTCGTCACCGAGTTGAATTATTGAATAAAGTAATATGCTCAGTACAACAGGAATTTTTTTCAACGTCCTGGAAACCATTGTTAACCACAAATCAATGTAGATAACCCTATATTTTTCGAAGTATTTATATTGGAATATCACTGTCTCACTTAGAAGCAGTTCAGTTCACCACCAATATATTTGTTTACTTACATATTATCCTATAAATCCATGCAAAAGGGTGTTTGCAGCTGATCACTATCGTTATTTTTCTTCACAACTACGTTTGCTAGCTTTTTCAACCATTGAAATAGAATTTCACTTAGGCACCTTGAATTCTCATCCCGCAACTATGATTTTAGTTGAGGAAATTATTACTGTTTTGTATTCAGTAAGCTTTCGTTCTAGAAATACTTTTTGAGTAGTATGTAGCGGCCAACAGAAATGGAATAATTCAGTTAGAGTTAAAACAAGGTTTAGTGTCAAACTAAGACGGCATTCCCTCGTAAACTACACGGTAAACTGATAGTAGATGATAGAAAACTTCTGCTCAAGTTCAGTCAAGTTCAAAATACTGATTACATCCCGACTGCATTATCTTAAAAAGCAAAAGGTTTATTCCTGTTAACAGCTATGATCCTTTTTTTCATGTTTAGCGTTCAGGGGCATTTTAGCCGACCAAAACTTCAAGCCTCAGTTGCATTGGTGACTCGCGACTAAACTATGCACAAATAAACCAACATTCTTTGATATTGAGCTAATAAGTAAGTCCCTTTTGCTTTTTGGAATCGCCACATGGTGCTAAATATGTAACCCGAAAAGACAATGGTCAGTGTACACGGTTCGGATTCCAACAGAAGCTTTTTTTAACGAAGGTGCTAGAAGATTACTGCTTAAAATAACTGGAACTTTAGATAACGCATACGAATCAAATACGATACCACCTCACTGATTTCAGTTCCTTGATTACCTAAATCTTCAAGAAAAGAGAGAAGTCTCCTTGCAGAAGGTACTGGGGAATCAGTTCGAAGATGCATAGTGTCGAAGATTCTAGGTTCTAATATGACTAGAGTATATGGCCAAAAATCGGTCACATTGGTGCAGATATATTCACTTATTGACGTCTTCTAAAGCTTGAATATTTTTAGCAAGCCTTACTCTTAAAGTCTGTTCTCCTACACCTTTGCTCACTTTGGTATCAGTCTTTTTCTATCCACCTGTTCTGAATTGTGGCAACCTGAACTAATGCACTTCTGTGGGAAGTTCATCATTGATTTTGAAGTACTACATTTTAACCCACAGTCGAGTCTTTTTTGTTTGAAATAACTTGCTCAATTGAATGTTTGTGTGTAACAAAGCATCAGTTTTCTTACACTCAGTCAGTAATGCTTCTTACAAAACCATGAAGTTAGGTGATGATATTCTCTGCGTTACTCGTTGGACAATATCAGTGATTTGTTTCGTTATTTGTAGGAAAACCTTACGAAATGAAAGTTATTTACCCGAGAGACTGGTAGGCGATATGTCACTATGAACGGGTTCCTTAAGAACTCATGGCATGGAACCGGGTAATCATTAATTTTGAAAAACTTTTATTTGTGAAGCATAATATGCAGATTTGGTTCTTAACAGCCAGTTTTGAGGGTGGGTTGGTGCTTCAACCCTTTAGTACACAAAACATTTCTAATGGTTATTATTGTCTCAAAGCTAAGCATTTCTAGAGCAGTCTCTGTGGAATTGATTAGACCATTAGTTTCTTTTATTCAGGCTTATTATCATGATTTTTAAAAATGACTACTGAGATCTAAATTCAAATCTGTAAAAGTGTGATAGTAACGAGGGATTTTAATGGAAGTGGCCATTTTTGTTTACAGAAATTTTTAGTTCATGGTCGATAGTTGGCTGAAAGTCCCCAATTATGAACCATGAACAGTCTCTTTTACTCAACTCGTTTTCTTCAGAAGAATGGTTGTTGCTTGAAGGTCAAATGAAAATTTGACCGTGGTCCAAATTTTTAGCTGTTTAGATAATGAAAAGGGATGAAAAATTTGTCCATTCTTTTGCACCTACTATTTCTATGTCATAAAAGTTTTCTTTCAACTTTAGAGATTAGGCAACCTACAATTAATTCTGTGTTTTTATAGCGTTTTGCATACCAGTCAATTTTAATATAATCTACCCAAAATTATCAACTGCGATGACAGAAGATACAATAAAAGACCTTGCAAAATACAAACTAAATGCTGAAATGTATGAAAATAAGGTGAGTTTAGAGTAGAAAGCAGCTTAAGATTATTGAAATTTTATCACTTAAATGTAGCTCAGGAAAAATTAGATTTTTAAATAGTTCTTACTGCTTTTAAGTGAATGCTTATGGCTTCACATTATATATTCACTAAAGTCTTGCATAATTTACGAACGTATTCATGCTAAATGAAAATGTTACTTATGTAAATAAAATTTACCATTGAGTTAGGAAGAAACGGAATAACCTTTCCAGTTGGCGATAGACTTCGGTGAATTCATGACTACATGATTACCTTCAGTTAATTCGATATCCTTTGATTATTTCTCGGGGTTTAATAGCTTGGTCATGGTCAAAGTTACGAAATTTGGTAGTGTTTAACTTGTAAAAAGCAAAACTGCATCATGTATCGATCATATAGAGATCAAAATCTAATATAGTTATGGATTAATTCTTGGCTTAAGTTCTGTTTTTTAAATGCCTATTTAGTTCAGAATTGAAATCGGAGATTTAAACTATATAAGTTATCTTCTGTGAGACTATTATTAACTTCTATTATGGTAATCCAGTTTACTAAAGTTTCGTAGTCTCTACAACTGCCTATTGCACGAATACGCCCATGGTTGCTGAGTGTGTAGGGATGCGTGTTACAATTCCGTAACGTTTGATCAACCCTACTTAATTTGATGTGCTCTAGTACCTGCTTAACCAGTACTTTACCTAACGTGTAAGTACTGATAACAAAACACAAATCAAAAGAACTGATACGCAATGTAAAAAAAAAAAAATGTATTTAAGGTAAATGTAATAATAATGAATGAGGGAAAAGTTTAATCAACTTATCTGGCTTGTAAGGCTGAACTAGGGACTCGGAGTACGTGCGTGGTGATCAGCACAATGGAGCGCAAAATGGCGTCCAAGCCTGCTCGGATGCATGCTCGTTAAAACAAAACTTAAAACACCCTAAGCATCCGGAGGCAAGCTAGAGATTTATTTAGTTAATTTAATTTAAACTATTTATTTTAGCCCTAGTTATATTTTGGTGCCAGGAAGGTGCACTACAGGTTATCCCCCTCCTAGAAGGTTGTTGGGATACCGGCAACCTTCGATCCTAGGAGGCGACTGCGAGGCGGACACGCAACACCTTTCCATATTGGTGATGGAGTAGGTGACGTGTGGGTCTCCGAAGCTAGTGCAACTATGCACACCTACGAGGTAAGATAACTTTGCGTCTAGACGCAACCCTTCTCGCAGTGGTGGAAGGTGACCCAAAGCCTCCGTCTACTTTTCCCTATTGCTTCTTAATCTACCGGGGGGTGTACAGGGGGAAATTGGTACAAAGAGAACCGAAGAACGATCCAAGTAGCATCGTCAGCGGCCAATTGTATCCAATTTTCAACGCATTTTCTAGGTTCTGCAAGAAGAAAGAAATGGGACATTAGAGTGCTAAGAAAAGAAAAACCAAACAATTCGAAGTGGGAGGAGTACAGAAAAAAAAAATAACCAACCAAAAAAAGTTTTCGGAATTTAAATTGTATTTTTGGTTTTTCTTTTTTTTTTTTGAAAAAAAACTGTTTGCAAAGTAGTGAACAAGACTTTTGAAAACTTTAGATATGAAAACGCATTGAAAGTGTATGCCACGACAAAGTAGTTGAAACTCCGAATTCACCAAGTGTGAAGTTGCTCTGGGGCTAATTAACGAAATCGGCGTATCGCTTGGGCCAATGTACACGCCTCCCAGCACGTGTAGAGGGTACTGGATCAGTGTTACTAGACGTGGCTCTTTTAGAAGGTTCAGGGTACGCGCGACTAAACGAGTCTGTGTGGGAGTCTGGCGGCAAGGGTTTTTCTAGTTGTGTCGGTGTAGAGGAAGGTGGGTCGTCCTCTATATAAGCTGCCTTCAAACGATCGACACTTATAGAATCCTGCCGTCCAGATCTGTCAATGACGAAAAACTTTTCTTTCCTACTGAGAACCTTGAAAGGTCCGTCGTATGGTGGCTGTAAGGGTTTACGTACACCGTCACAACGCACAAAGACGTGAGTGCAATCTTGGAGTCTTTTATCCAACTGCACCCGTCTACACTGTATCCGTGTGGATGAGGGTTGGAGGCGACGCATGTGTAACTTAAGAGTTTGAGCATAGCCATGGATATCGGTAGGAGTTGGGTCACTACAGTCTGAAGCGACCATCTCACCCGGCAAACGTAAGTTACTACCGTAAACTAACTCAGCAGGTGTACACTGTATATCAGTCTTGAGTGTAGAACGGATGCTGAGAAGAACCAACGGCAGAGACTCAGTCCATTTCATATTGTCGACTGCCATTAGTGCGCTCTTAAGGTGTCGGTGGAATCGCTCCACCAAACCATTGGAAGCTGGATGATATGCGGTAGTGCGGATGCGTTTGCATCCCAACAGATTCATCAGCTTCTGGAAGGTAGCGGATTCGAACTGTTGGCCTCTGTCGGTTGTCACGGTGGAAGGGCATCCAAACTGTGAAACCCATCCTTCGACGAAACCCGACTTACTGTTTCGGCAGTAATGTTAGACAATGGGATGGCTAACGGCCAGCGAGTAAACCTATCGACACATGTCAGTAGGTAACTATATCCATTGGAGGGTGGAAGTGGGCCGACAATGTCTAAGTGGACATGAGCGAATCGTGAGTCCGGTTTGGCGAAAGTTCCAAGTGGTGGGATGTTGTGACGATTCACCTTGGAACGTTGGCACTGAATACATGACCGTGTCCAGTTTCGAACATCACGGTTAATACCAGGCCAAACAAACCTAGCAGATATGAGCTTGTCAGTGGCGCGGATGCCAGGATGTGAAAGATTGTGCAAAGCATCAAAAACATGCTTACGCAAGGGTAAAGGAACAACCGGTCTGGGTGTGCCTGTGGAGGTGTCGCACAATATTGACACTTCACTGTTCAGGAGCGGTAAACGCTGTATCTTCAGAGAGGATGAGTGTTGAAGTTTTTCAATCTCCTCGTCTGAATCCTGAAGTTCGGCAATCTTCCGTAAGTCGACTGCTCGAGGCAAAGTAGTGGTGCAAACGCGAGACAGTGCGTCCGCGACAGGGTTATTCGCACCAGAAATATGACGGATGTCCGACGTGAATTGCGAAATATAATCTAGGTGACGTAATTCACGCGGTGAATATCTGTCAGTAGTGGTGTGTAAGGCATACGTCAGAGGTTTATGGTCGGTAAAGATGATGAAGTCACGACCTTCCACAAAATGACGAAAATGTTTCACTGAGGCATATATGGCGAGCAGTTCCCTGCCGAAAGTGCTGTACCGCATTTCGCAGGTGGATAACTTCCGGGAGAAGAATGCAACTGGGATCCAAGTGTGATCCGAAAGTTGTTGCAACACAGCTCCAATGGCCGTGTTAGAGGCGTCAACCGCAATGCTAAGAGGTAGGTTTACGTCTTGATGCACCAGCATCGTGGCGTCTGCTATTGCGGTTTTGATCTTGCGAAATGCTTCTAGTGCCTCCGGAGTCAAGCTGAAAGTTTTACATTTACTTTTCAGCAGGTCGGTCAGTGCAGTCAAAATGTGTGCACATTGGGGAACGAAGCGACGATAATAGCTCACCATACCCAGAAACACACGCAGAGCTTTAAGTGACGCTGGGACTGGGAAGTCTTGGATCGCCTGTACCTTTTCAGGTAGTGGGCGAATGCCTTGCTCGTCGATAACGTGTCCCAAAAATTTTAGTGAACGAACGCCAATTGGCATTTGGCCAGGTTGACTGTCATCGAATGCTCTGACAGTCTGGCGAAAACCTGTTTCAAGTGGTTAAAATGAGTGTCTTCGTCAGGACTAGCGATTAGTATATCGTCTAGGTAGGCATAGGCGAAATCGAGTCCACGTAAAACATCGTGAATAAAACGTTGGAAGGTTTGTGCTGCATTGCGAAGACCAAAAGGCATACGGAGGAACTCAAAAAGACCAAACGGTGTAATGACGGCTGTCTTGGGAACATCATCAGGATGAACCGGGATCTGATGATATGCACGCGTCAAGTCAAGCTTACTGAAGATAACCGAGCCTTTTAAAGATGCAGTCAAGTCGTGAATGTGAGGGACTGGGTAACGATCTGGAATCGTTTTAGCGTTGAGCCTTCGGTAGTCACCACAAGGCCTCCAGTCCATGCCATTGTTCTTGGGTACCACATGCAAGGGTGAAGACCATGGACTGTTGGATGGTCTGATTATTCCCATTTCAAGCATGTGTTCGAACTCGGCTTTTACAGCACGCAGTTTCTCCGGGGATAATCGCCGTGGTTTCGCAAACACTGGCGGGCCAGTCGTCGTTATGTGATGAGAAACGTTCGAAGTCACACAAGGGACACAACGACTTGGCTTAAAGACATCCGGAAAGGACTGAATGATAGACGCGTAGGGACTAGAAGCGTCCGTCGTGCAGTACACGGGACTGAGGGGCGGCGTCTTTGTGACTATACCGGAAACAGAGAGTGTTGTGGTAGAATCTATCAACTTATGCTTGCCAGCATCTACCAGCAGCTGATAGTGCTGCAAGAGATCCATACCAATAATGCCGGTGGTCACATCTGCCACTATGAAAACCCAACGAAAGGGACGACGCAATCCAAGGTTGAGATCGAGGAATCTCCGACCATAGGTTGTGATGGGCGAACCGTTGGCGGCACGAAGTTGCAGAGACATTGGCCGCAGACGCTCTTCCTTCGTAGGTGGGATGACGCTAGCTTCTGCCCCAGTGTCAACTAGGAAGCGTATCCCAGAATGTCGATCAGTGACGAAGAAGAGGCGACATGGAAGTGGCTCGCCAGCGACGTTAGTCGCCGTCACGTGCTGGCTCACACGTTTCCCGCCTGGTTAGCCTCGAAGGTGCAAGGTCGAGTGCACCTTTTGGCATTGGCACCATAACGTTTATGGTACCAGCACAACCTGGGTTGGGATTGTCGCGATTTGGAACGTCTGCTACCGGTACGGGAGGCAGACCTGTTGCGCGAGCGAGACGTGCGACCGTTGGAAGAACTACCAGACCGCATTTCGTTCCTGATGCTGCACAACTCTCATACAATTTCGAGATGTGAGCTATAACATCGAAACTTGTTGGCTCAACAGCCGAGGGGGATGAGGGTTTTTGACGAATCCGTGGCAGTAGACAGTGCAGCTGAGATACTAGTGTTGGGTTTCGTAGCATCCACAGCTCTGTCAGCCGCTTCCGCCAGCTCTATTAAGGGACACTTATGGAAGGGTGCGAGGATCCCTTGAACCGACTGTGGTAACCTCTGTAACCACAGTTGCTTGAGAAATGCTTCATCAATGTTGAAGTCAGCAATCAGCTGCTTCATCTGACGAAGCAGTTGCGTCGGCTTGCGATCACCCAGATGCACATCCCTGAAAAGTTCTTGCACTTTCTGCTGGTCAGTAAGTGCAACACGTTTGATGAGGGCGGTTTTGAGGCGATCGTAAAGATTCGGTGCTGGGTCATCTAGCACATCTGAGACGTCTTCGATCACATTTTCCGGTAAGCTGACGATGACTAAGTTGGACTTAGTTTCTTGTGATTGAATGTGTCTCAAGGCAAACTGAGCTTCCACATGGGAGAACCACGCAGATGGTCTGTGGGCCCAGAAGGTGGGAAGCTGGAGGGTTACGGCCATCTGCGCAGTCGAGTCGTTATCCGCCATTGATCAGGGAATTAACGAGGCACGATAGTGATAATAAAAAAAATTACAATGCAAAAATAACCAATGAGGAGTGCAATAATAAAAAAAACGCTAGACCGTGCCAAAAACAAAATAGGCCAGACAAATCAACGCAAGAGAACAAAGGTACTAGACAAAGTAAGAAGTGATACTCGGGCTCACCAATTTTGTAGGGATGCGTGTTACAATTCCGTAACGTTTGATCAACCCTACTTAATTTGATGTGCTCTAGTACCTGCTTAACCAGTACTTTACCTAACGTGTAAGTACTGATAACAAAACACAAATCAAAAGAACTGATACGCAATGTATTTAAGGTAAATGTAATAATAATGAATGAGGGAAAAGTTTAATCAACTTATCTGGCTTGTAAGGCTGAACTAGGGACTCGGAGTACGTGCGTGGTGATCAGCACAATGGAGCGCAAAAATGGCGTCCAAGCCTGCTCGGATGCATGCTCGTTAAAACAAACCTTAAAACACCCTAAGCATCCGGAGGCAAGCTAGAGATTTATTTAGTTAATTTAATTTAAACTATTTATTTTAGCCCTAGTTATATTTTGGTGCCAGGAAGGTGCACTACAAGTGCATCTCGACTTCGATTCAAGAATACATATGCCTTTATGAGATTTTACTCTTTCTTTCCACTGAACTAAACACTTACACTTTTGAATAAATATATAGTTTTGGTTTAACAACATATGTTCCTGATTAATAACCAGCAAGTTGTGGTTTAAGTAGTATTACGTTTACATTAATCTGGGTATGTAGGGAACAGTTTCACAGAAATTTGTTTCTTAGTACCACGTTACATAACCTGCATATGATTACTGTATCAAACTCGTTCCCATTTTGTAAACGCAATGACGAATATTTAGCATCTCTTTAGGTAGCTTTCAAAATCTTATGATAATGGAGGGTTCTTCTGATACTCTTCACACCTTTTATCTGAATGAAAATTAGGAATAATTGGTTTCTAGATTGAATATGAGAGCAAAACATGAGTATTGCATTAGTTTATAATTTCACGTTTTTAATAAGGCATCACTTTCTCTTTTCATTCGTACATTTGTCTTCTTAATGCCTAATTTATATGTATGAAAGAGAACAACTGACTTGAAGTTCATGTTTGTTTGTTAGATATTTTAGACACTGAAATATTACTGTGAAATAACATTATCTTACAGTGTGAAATATCAACTTTACATGGAAACATTTTTATCTTTAATTGTGCACTCTGAACTTCTAAAGTACTACTTTTTTTAATCGAAGTATTACATCACCATAGATGTATACCATTAGCTGCATAAAGTGAAATAACTTTCTGGCAGTCCCGTCTATTTATTTCATCCACATATATCTAATGCAGTATGTATAATCAGCTGAAAATTCTTTAAATGAAATGTCTAAGGCAGTTTAAACGAATAGCAACTAATAACAGCCAGTTTGCTGATTAAAATTACTTCCATCGCTCTGAAATACAAGTATCTAAACCATATTAGGGATGAAAATAATTAGTTTTACATTGGATTTTAGCCATTATCCTTTGATCTCCTTTTGGTTTGCATGCTTTGGTCTGTAAAGAACGGAAAAAACTAATATACTCAGCTTCATGATCACTGCTTTTTAAAGCAACAGTGTTAGTTAACAGTCTAGCAAGTCACAACAAATGTGTCTAAAATTTTCTGACTGGTTGAAATAGGAAATAAACAGTGGAGGATCGGAAGATAAATGTGCCAATGTGAGTAACGAAAAATTTACATAGTGTGGATCAACTGTTTTCACTAGTTTTCATCCATAAAGAAAGGATTATTTCTTCTGAAAATATACGGAAATAACATATACAAGTTTAGGTTAACTGTTACCATGTAGTAGAACAGAAAACTATTTTATATTATTAATTGTTTCTTGGGTTCCTAGTGGAACATAGGACTCCAGTAGCACGTCGCTGTTTCACTCTCTTCCCTACAGTCTTTTCAAACTCGCTCCACAACTGCACACAAGCTTTCACTTCTTCTTCACACGATCTCCTCCATGTCACCCCCGTCGTCTCCCACTTGGGTCCCACTGGCCTCGCGCGTGATCTTCTCAAACGGTCTTCTCAGTGTGTGTCCAATCCATCTCCACTTTCTTCTGCATATTTGTTGGGTGACAGGTCCTTGATCGGTTTGTTTGCATGCCATAGTTCCTCGTTGCTTATTCTTTCTGACCATCTGCTCTTCAGTATCGAGTGAGTGTAGGTGGCAGCTGTTGATGAATGTCTGTGGTTTTTTGGAGATGCTTTTCATAACGCATCAAGTCTCTGAACCACCACATAGAAATACTGAATTGCTTGACTGAATTAGTGTTGAAAATCCGGATGTTGTTCACGCTTTATGCTGAGTGCAGTGCAGTAGATCTCCACACCGATTATTTCAGATTAATGAAGGCCTGTTTTGCTTTTCCGATGCTGGCTTTGACATCCTCATCTGTGCCTGTGCCGTCTGTAGTTGAGAGGATGCTTCCTAGGTAGGTGAAAGAGACTACTTCCTCCAGATTTCTTCCATTGATGGTGATTAATGTATCTTGTTGTTGTTGGTTGGGCATCTACATCACCTCCGTCTTCTTCACGTTCACTTGGAGTCCTGTCTTCCTTCGCTGATCCGTCTCTCCTGTCAACTTGTTGGTTTTCGCCTGTAGATCTTCTAGTTTGTGCGACAAGACATTAGGCATAAATCGGCATCGGCGAAATCCAAGTCTTCTAGGGTCTTTTCATCTGTCCAGCCAGTGTATTCCCATCTCGCTCCTCACAGGAACGGAAGGCTAAGGAAGGGTTAATTGTAAAATGAAGTTATTATCTTTTCTGTTCGACTGCAAGGCTACGGTTAATCAAGTAAGGTAGGAACAGCACAGATGGTATACAAAATGTTATGTATGCTGGTTTACATATGTAAGTATAGTATAAATTGTTGCACGCCACAGTTAAACAAAGATTTTTAAGGTTCATATTTGCAATAACGTCCTGAAACTTTAAGTGAAATGACTTGATAAAGCAACATGGGACATAGGCAGATATAATAAAGATCTGTTCCTTGAGATATTGCTTTATATTTGTGTCATTATAGCGCCTTTTGTCATTGTCAGCCCATTCAGTGTTCCAAGAGTAGTCTGCATCGAAGCTGTATGAATGCCGGAAACCAGTTTTTATGCGAAGTAGGTAATTGCTGTTGATATGTGTTAGCGAGGCCTAATCATATCAAAGTAGAGAACTCCGTTTAAGATATACCTTATCTCCTACGACTTGCTGGAAAGAAAGAAATTCCGCAAAATAAGAAAAATTGTTTAACAATCTTCGTCAGCTCAAAACGATAGTTCTTATCTGGTTACTTCTAGCTTTGATTTTGTAGCAAAATGTTTGACTCAACGTTCTCATCGTGCTTAAACAGGGTTAATATTAGCATAAAAGTTGAACACTGTGATAGAAAGTAATATCACTAAATTTCCTTATTTGATATGACACAGTGGTTCTACATCATATATATAATTGTCATATTGTTTACTGTACCACTGTATGCTGCCTCATATAAACGTATCTAGTGTGGAGTTCAAATATGTTTGTAAAATCGTAATGAATATTTCTCATTTGATCACTCTTTTTTTAGTATCATCAAGCGGAGTATGAAAAAGAAAAATTCCGTGAAGAAGCTCGTCTTGGTAAAAAACAGTTAGAATTAACAGAGAATGCGCTAAAAGACGCTAATGAAAAGATTAAAGAGTATCGAGAAAGAATAAAAAAGTTTGAAACTGATTTACATACTTATGAACTACTGAAACATCGAAGTCAGGCTGCTGTAGTTGGACTACAGAAAGTTGCACGAGAATCTCAAGATAATGTGATTCAACTGGAAACACGTTTACGGTAAGTTTTATTGCATATACGCCGTGACCACAGATAGCAGAATGAAAAAGAAAATTGCATTTGTAATGTATTGCCATTGTTTACTTCAGTAACCGTTAACTTTGACAATCAGTTATCTCAGACTATTCATAATAAAATCTAGCAAAGGTAACCAAGTATATAAAATCTGAGACAAGTTTGACTTACCTCAGTACGCAGTGAATTGGTTCAACTGGCTTAAAAGTTAGCTGTAATAATAAACTTTTAAAAGTTGTAATGTTTCTATTCAAAGTCCAAATGACAACACAAAACACGCTTTCATATTTTTCTACCACATTTGGCACGATAAACATTATCTTATAGTATTCATGAAATGCTCAAAAAGAACTGTTTGTCTTGACTGCTTACAATAGAGAAATCATCTATGAATTTTAAAGAACATATGTGATAGTTCTCTAAAATAAGAGAGACCAGAGTTAGATGTGCTGAAGCAAACCTTACAGCTGATCAGTGGTACTACTAATCAAATAAACCCAAGGTATAGGTGAGATCTCAGTAAGAAGTAAAACCACAATTTTATTATTATTATTAGTCCCTTGGGTTCCTAATGGAACATAGGGATTCAGTAGCACGTCTCCAGTGACCTCTGTTCTCCGAAATCTTTTGAACCTGGCTCCACGACAGCCCACAAGCTCTCATTTCCTCCTCGCACGATCTCCTCCATGTCACCCTCAACTGGGACGCCCCACTCGTCGCTTCCCATCTGGGTTTCACTCGAGGGCCTCACTTGGCGTGTGATGTCCCCAGTCGGCCTCCTCAGTGTATGCCCAATCCATCTCCACTTCCTTCCAATGCATATTTGTTCAGCGATAGCTTCTTGGTTGGTTCGTTGCCGGCCAGCCAGAGTTCCTTGTTGCTTATTCTTATTCTTTCTGGCAATCTGATCTTCAGTAACGAGCCAGCGTAGGCAGTTGTTGATGATTTATGTCTGTAGTTTGTTGGAAATCCCTTTCGTGACGCGCCAAGTCTCTGAACCATACAGGAGCACTGACTTCACGTTGGTGTTGAAAATCTGGATCTTGTTCCACCTGCTGAGTGCAGAAGATCTCCACACTGGTTTCAGGCTAATGAATGCCTGTCTTGCTTTTCCGATTCTGACTTTGACGTCCTCGTCCGTCCCGCCTGTAGCTGAAACAGTGCTTCCTAGATAAGTGAAGGAGGTTACTTCCTTCAAGTTTCTCCCCTTGATGGTGACTGGAGTTTGTTGTTGTTGTTGGAGTTGTTGGTGAGATATCTTCATCACCTCTGTCTTCTCTATATTCACTTGAAGTCCCGTCTTTGCTGCCTCACCTCTACTGCCAACTTGTTAGTTTTCGCCTGTAGATCTTCAATCACAAGTCATCGGAGAAATCCAAATCTTCTAGGTTCTTTTTCGCGGTCCAGCATATCCCCATCTTCTCACAGCTCCCCACTGTTTGTCGCATGATCCAGTCTACCACAATCAGGAATATCATGGGGGATAGTAGGCAACCTTGTTTCACTTCTGTCTTCACTTGAAATGCATCACTGAGCTGAGCTTCCCATTGTGAATTACTTGGCTGGCATGTGGCGTCTTCACATAGTTGTTGAATGAGATTGATAAAGGTTTGCGGTATTCCGTAGTAGTGAAGCAGTTTCCAAATGACCTGTCGGTCGACGCTGTCAAAGGCCTTTTCAAAGTCGATGAAGTTGAGGTAGAGAGTTGACTGCCATTCTATGCTCTGTTCTATGATGATGCCTAGAGTAGCGTTGCAATTTGGTCTGCACATGATTTGTACATCTTGAAGCCAGCCAGCCATCCTGTTCCGGTCGTAGTTTTGAATCCAGTGAATCCTTTGGCCTCTCCAGGATGATGCGGTTTAATATTTTGCTTGGGATGGGCAGAGACAGGAGAGTGATTCCTCGCCAGTTCTTGCAAACACTGAGGTCTTCCTTCTTCGACAGTTTGACAAGGTAACCCTTCTTCTAATCAGTTGGCAGGTACTTTCTCTTCCTTCCACACCTTCTGCAATAGTGGTGTGAGCATTTCCTCTATTGTCTCTGCATCTGTTCTCAGTGCTTCTGGCAGGATCCCGTCTGGTCCTGCTGTTTACCCACATTTCAGTAGCTCTATGGCATTCAGGACTTCCATTTTCGTTGGAGGATTTATGTTCACTTGTAGTTCAGCGGCTGTAGGTGGTATTTCTGGACGAAGTGCAGGTGGTGGTCGATTCAGGAGCTTCGTGAAGTGGTCAGCACATCGTTTTCTTTTTTCCTCTTCTTTGGCAATCAAATTTCCTTCATCACCTTTTATTAGTTTCATCTATGTTGATCTCTTCCCTACCAGATAGTAACCTGGTTATTTGATACAATGTTGTCAGGTCTCTGTCTCTCCTACCTGCAGCCTGTTATGCTTCACTTGCCAGTGTGTCGTAGAAGAGTCTTTTGTCATTCCGTGCACTCTTCTTCGCTTAACTGTCCAGTGTTTTATGCACTGTGCTCAGTTCCTCTTCTCGTTGTGCATCTTTGCACTGGTTTATCTTCTGCTTCACCATCCTCCTCTCCTTGCTCTTTCAGCTTCTGTGTCCGTCGGGATCCATTCCTTATCTTCTTTCTTCTTCCTTCCTAATACGGCTGTGCAGGTTTCTTTCCACATCTCTTTCAAAGACTTCCAGTGTTCTTTCACACAGGTTTCTTCAGGGATGTTGCTCGATATCTCCCATTTTGTCTTGATGGCTGGCTGACGTGAAGATTTTCTGTGTAGTTTCGTCCTTCTGCTTCTGTTCCGAGTGTTGTACTTGAACTGTGTGTGGTCTAATATCAGCTTCCTTGAAGGCTTTTAACTTGATTTGGAGGGTTCCTTGACCACAATAGCACAGCTCTTTTGAGTGTGTTAAGGAAACTGAAGTTTGCACGTGGTTTTCAACACTCAATAGTTTTAAATTATCAGTCAAAAGTTATGCTCTGCATATGCCTTATATCAGTCATTGTAATGGAGGTGTTACTGTTTAGTCCATATTTAGACGAAGGGAAATGAAACTCAGTAAATAACCTATGACTACCACTTGTAAAAACAGTGTGGAATTCGTCTAAATACTATTCATCTCCAAAAGTTGCCTAATTGAGGATTTTTCAGTTCACAAACACTATATGATTAGATGCATGGATTATTTACCTAACTGATCATCTAAACATGATTTAGTTTTTAAAGCAGATATATTTGTCTATCAAAGAAAACTAATCATTTTGGTGGTAAATAAAGTTTTTTGTGGAAAATTTAAAAGAAAAGTGTCGGAATCGTCAGTGCGTCCTTACATATCTGCGAGGAATGTCAAGGTTTGTAATCAAACAACAGCTTCCGAAAGTGTAAAATAAAGTGAAAATGAATCTCAAAACTGTCATATCAGTTTTTCATATTACCTAACAAAAACTCGTGAGCTAACAGAAGTTGGAAATATGGAGCATTAGATTCTGACCCAGTGGCTCAATGGTAACGCGCTGGCCGCGGAACCTGAAGGTCGCGGGTTCGATCCCTGCTGGTGTGGGGTCGTGGGTGCGCAATGCTGAGGAGTCCCATACTAGGACGAGACATCTGTCCAGTGCTCCCAGGTTTCCTTTGTTCCTCCAAGTGATGTCAGTCTACGATGAATAACAACTTGAAAAACTTAAAGAGTTGTTCATAATGTATTATCAAAGTCAGTTGATTGGAGAAAGCAAATATTAATGTAGACGAAACCTTAAACTAACTACGAAAGGTATATGAAATCATGACACTATGATACTGATGCAAGACGTCGGTGATACCATAGATGTTTCTAGGATTTTATCAGTTGAATGATAAAAGTATATTTTTTTTAAACAGAACACTGCTGTGTAAGGCTGAAAGTTACTTATTACAGAAAAACTCATTCAGCTAATGAAATTATTCTTGCTCTAGTTCAATAGGTAAAGTTAAACTATTATTTGTTAATTCTATCTTTTAATTGTAGAAACTTGGTAGCAAGTCAGAGCTCTGAACAAGAAAAATTGAAGAAAAAGCTTCATGAATCTGAAACTTTTCTACAGGAGCTAGGACGTAGAATTGGTTTATCTGAAGTGAATACAGACTTTCACAATGTCATGGAAAAAGCAAGTGTTTCTTTTGAAAGCTCTTTTCAGTTGAAAATATTTGTTTAATTACACAATGAATAGAATGTGGAACTGAAACCTGATGACGTAGATGTCTTACTGTTAGCCATCACTTTATTTAGCGTCAAATGTTAGATATAGAGCATAACTAACTCAGTACACAAAGACATATAAGTAACTGTTTAAACAAAAAAGCAACAAAACTACTTAAATATTTTATAGTAAGACGTTTCAACTAGTGAGAAAATTAAATTTAAACAATACTAGATTTAAATAACTAATAATGTTCATAGTTATAACTTTTAGATTTTATAGGGAGCATATCGACAACAAAGGGGTGAAAATGTGGTAGAGTTAACAAACAAACAAAGGTTTAGGTAATATGAATGAGACACGTTAAGTGAGATGAACGAAAGTGTTTTTGTTTAGAGTTGCAATTACTGAGTGAATTTGTGTCATTTGAAGCAAAAGACAGAAAGGAGGAATCAAGTAACAGCAGGTTCAGTGTTACAAGATCTGATCTGGATTTGAAGGCTTACAGGATAAGGACAAGTTAGGTTAAAAATTAAGCAGAAGGTAGCGACTACTGTCACTTAGGGCGAAAAATCACATAGAAAAGCATGAAGAAGGATTGGGCTTAGAAGACAGGCTACCACATATGAGGAGAGAGTTACAAAACCTACGATAAAAATGGTCGAATGACAAATTCTTGTGCGACTGCTGTACGCATGTTTTGATATTACCTGTCATTGGTAGAACCAAGAAAGCTTATTGTTTCCTTTTGTGAGCTCTTCATATAAATGTGCGACCAATTGCAAACACCGGCATAAATCCTTTCACTTTTGATACCAAAGTACTACAGTCGATGTTGGACCCCGAAAACTGAATCTGTAATGCCTTAAGTTCATAAACTTTGCCTGACTGAAACTTCAGTTTATCTTTTTAGCTCCTCTTTTCCCAACTCCCATCAATCGCTTTCACTACTTTAAGAAGGCTACTTTTTTGGTTGCTCTTCCGCTTTAAATATACTAGTTCGTCCGTTTTTGCCTCCAGGGTATTTCCGTTCCATAAAACATTCTCTCTTCCAGTAATCTTTCTCCTAGTGTTAAATGAGTGGATTGTCGAGCGAGTATCGTTTTCCATTCATTCGATATTCAAATTTAGCATCCATAATCTACTGTATCTGTAAATCTCAGTAACTATCTATTATCTATTCGGTAGTTAAAACCAGTGACTGGCACTTGAAGTAACAGGTTTTAATTCACTTCTCCTTAGGAAAGCCAAAATTATTGGTTAGTAGTTTTTTAAAATTTAATATATTTCCGATGAAATCCTTGTCTTCTATGAGTTCTGAAGAAGGGAAATAACTGAATCCAGTCTTTGATGCACTTTTAATTAAGTTGTTATTCGCTATTTAGATATTGCACAGTTTACGTTGGATTCTACAGAAATAAATTTTCATTAAATAATTTGAAATTTACCTTGTTAGGTTGCACAACGATTAGATGAGGCAGCATTGTTTGAAGTCAAATACGTGCAAAGTGATTCAAATCTGCACAGGGTTATTGCAGAACTTGATTCAGTTAAGCAAAGTACACATGGTTTAACAAAGAGAGGCGAAGATTATTTGCAAGAAAGAAAAGTACTGAGTGAGGTAAAACAATTTTATGTCAAGTTTTAAAGGTGTCCTTATATAACGTCAACATGTAGGTAGGAATTTTCCATGTAAATGAAGAGTTTTCTACTTTCAATGAATATTCCCGAGCTTCCAGGATGTATTAAGGCTCTAACTGTACTCAAATTGCTTTGGACTAAATAAATAATACTCTTTCTTTTTGTGTGGAGATATTGGAGGGACTTTCTTATCGTTAAGCCCTGTTTGAGGAATAGATGTTCTTTGTGCACAGAAAAAAATAATTTCACTCAAATATTCCCTTAATAGACTTGAATAAAGAATCACCATTGGAGAAGATTAACACGGTACCACTCTGTTTCACCTGTTTTTCGTTAGTTAAAAACGTTTAAATATCATGCTAAAAAAAGAATTAGGATATGAATTTTTGCAGTTACATGAAGTTAGTGAACAGGTAATAAATATTACAAGACATCCAGATAAAGTTAACATGAGATCCTATGAATTTTCATATATATATATATATATATATATATATATATATATATATATATATATATATATATATATGATTTAACAGAGAGTTCGAGGAGAGAATATGAATAGTAATAGAGTACGTACGAAGATTAACAAGTTGGGCAGTTGATGATAAATCACAGAAAAGTTATGTAGTGGTAAAGTGAGTTTACCTCAATTCGTTGAACGATCATCAAAACTATGTACGAAGACAGAAAGTTTCAGTCAAAAGATGATGCCATAAAATAGGTAAAGAAATATTCTGGATTAAATAAACTGCAATTTGAATCCATAGAGTTTTTCATCAACTTTCTGCACAAGCTGTAACAAATATATCATACTTTTCTCCTTCACATATTATATGCGAATTGCAGTCACTTGTTGTCTTCTCAAGACATATAACAATATTTGGTAATTTCTTAAAGTCCCATCAATGGTTGCAATACACGAGGTAATTACTGCTTGTGAAGCATACTACCATATATATATTCACAAAAAATAGAGAAATTACGATTTTGCACAAATTATGGCTTAAACAAGATATTCTGTGTTATAAGTTGGAAATCAGCTCAGGAGCATATGTGCTGTCATGAGTACATGTCACGCATAGATGAACAACGTTTTAGAAGAAATCAGTTATTCCTTTAACGACTGCATACTAGTTCTACCTATCATTTGAACAGCTCTGAACTGTTATTGAATATTAAAATCACTATTGGTTATGCTTTTGCCTATGAACTCTTATATTATCTTTCTTAAACGCTTACAACGATGATATCAGTCAATTTCCTTTATTTTTGCAATTGAGAAAGAACTAAGCAATTTCTTTAGGAACTGAAGATTTTTCACCTGATTGAGTGAAGTAATCCAAAGATAAATTAATTCGTATAAAATTAATTCTCTCAGAGAAGTTTTTTGAAATGGAATGCAGCTTATCTCCTGCCATACACTGCATCAAAAATATTTTGCAAATTACTGAGTGGAAACAGTCTACATGAGGGAAAAATCACTCAAAGTGTTTAATTAGATGATATGTTGTATAATTGAATGATATAATGCTATGCGACAAGCAAAACAACAGCAGTAACTGGGATAATGTACATTTCAGAGTTCGTGCACCAAGTGTTTGAATACATTTGATAGGAAAAACAATATTTGCATTTCAGGATTCATTTCACTGATTAGCAATGTAGATAATCAACCTTCAAGGAACTAATTCTGCTGCAGATATCCTAAACCATGTTACTTATCATTGAAGTAAACGATTAGATGACCAAACTTTAGCGTAACCAACTAGTATTGTCTCCTAAGGGTGATAATGAGTGACAAGATGCATTCGAAAGTACGAGACAACACTATTTCTCCTGAAGCTTCAAAATGTGCTTTGCATATGAGCTTAAACAAGAAGAAATACTGGAAAACGTGCACGCGCCTAACTTCCTCAGAAACCATTTCGCATCAAATTCGACTCACCAGAATGTTTGGTCATTCCGCTCGTTGGTGACACTGTAAATCTAATCAAATTAATTCTGTTAATAGTAAAGTATAATGGTCCTTTGACCGACTTGGCTTGTTTAAGTCTCTGAGATTAAATTTACCCCTGATTCTGCATAAATATTTACACTTTCTCTGAAAATCTCCTCTACTTACATTATAGAAAATTAATCTACTTGAAGCAAAAAATCAAGATTTAGCCTCTCAGCTGAAACTAATGAGAAGTATGTCACAAGCTAAGGAGACCATCACAAATGACTTACGTGGTGAGATAGAGGAATTAAAAAAGAATAAACAAATTATCGAGGAAAAACATAAACAAGCTACATTCAAGTTGCAAGTTGAAAGTGCTCAAATGAAAGCATTACTGTAAGTCAAAACAGACTGTGTTCGTAATTTTGTCCTTCGATTGAGGTACATAGTTGTATTCGAAAATCATCAGAATATGTAAACTTCGTTACTGGGAGAGGTATTCAGTAACTGAGTTACTTTTTTCATCTATGCAGTCTCATTTTTCCACATAGTACAGAAGTCATAATTCCTAACTTACCAAGTTACACAAATAACCAGTTCAGTATCTGAATTAAGGTTTTACTGCCAGTACATGGACAATATATTTCTAATTATGAGGAATAAGAACAATGTAAGCATTACCATGGGATACGGTTTGTATTTGAGTAAGTCACAGGGTGTCTGAAATGAAATAATCCTATCTTTTCGTAGGGAAGTCCGGTCTGAGCTTCTTCAGGGAAATAATCAAAAATTCATATATCAAAGATGTATAGATGAATTCAAAGATATGTACTTAATTCCCTTGTCCAATCCTCTTCGTGTAGTCATTGTCTTTCCAGAATATGACTGTGTGAAATTGTCTGCTGTTGTTTGACTACCTTGTATATGTGTGTATTGTTATTCATATTCTCCTTGATTGTAAATACGAGATGAAAAGGTCGCAGATAAAATTACAGTCATTCGGTAATTTTATAAGCACAGTAGGGCATATGAGATGGATATGTGTCATTTCGGTTGGTATTTAGGGCTGTATGGTATTAATGCATTTTTTCAATGATCTGTTAGAGTCACTGTTTCTGCTTACTCATTAGTAATTACCAAAAGACAACTAACTATACTCCATCGCCCCTGTTTAAGCTATCTGGATTTGCCCATAAATGTAAGGCTTAGGCTGTCAGTCTTTCTTGGTATAACCCAAAACCCTTTTGTAGAATCTTGGTTACGTCAATGTCAATTTTTTGGTCCATTTCTATGGAGTTGCCGATTTGTTTTCCATGTTCTTGATTTCTGTTGAGGTTTTGCGAACCTGATTTAGACACAGTCTATGCCCCTTCACTCTTTTATTTGTCTGTTTGGCAGGCTCCTTCACGTATGCTACATTACGATCTGCGCATTTGATTTGATAAACGTAGTTCTGTTGATTTTCTTTAGGTAATAAGTCGTTAACTTTGATTACGTTAGAGAGTTGGGTGTTTGTTACCCGAAGATAAATTCTTGTGTAGTGTTTGTTGAGAACCCTTTTTATTTCTTCCGAGGTTTTCTTACGATATGGAATTATCCCCATCTTTATCCACTTTTACGGAGGGAATTCCGGTACGTCCTTAGTTTCGTTTCTGAAAATTCTTTTTACGGTATCTTTCGGATAATTATTTGCTTCCAGTGTGTGATGAACCGACTTTAAATCTTCTTCTTTATCTTCTTTCGTTGAAACAACACAGTTAGCTGTGTTAATCAGATTCCGTGCGACCGTTACTTTAGTAGTTAAAGGATGTGCAGACTGATAATTTAGGTAACTGTCAGAATGTGTTGCTTTTCGAAAAATCTTAAGCTTCAGTTTATTGTAATTCCGTCTTCCCACCAAACAGTTCATAAAGGCTAACTTTGATAGGCTGGATTAAATTTCTCTGTTGAAAACAGTACTTTCGCACTCATTATTTATGTTGCCGAAAGTTCATCCAGACTGTTATGTTTTATAACTACAATTGTATCATCTGCGTACCTTAACCAAATTCTTGGGAGTGGAGAGCATTTTTTCATTGCATTTGTCTCTGACGAATCCCGGAACAAGTTAGTTACTATTGGGGATACTGGAAATCCCCTTGCTACATCATCAGTCTTTTGGCATAGATTTCCTCTGAACGTGAATACCGTCGATCGTAAACACAATCCCAGAGACTTAAGAATTTATTCTGGATGTGATGAGTATCGTGAACTTAGGTCAGTATCTGATAACAATGAGTTGTGAATGATGTCTCGTACATCTTTAACAGGTACGTTAGCAAATAAAGAACAGACATCAAAACTTGCTATTATTTGGTCTTCTTCAATTTAAGATGAAATGATTTTACTCTTCAATTCAAACTAGTTTTTTATGACATATTTTAATTCCCTTTGGCATAGCTTTAAGATTGGCGACACCTATTTGGCTAAACTGTATGTCATTGGGTTAATAAAATGAACAACTGTTCTGAAAGGTGTATTTGACTTAGAAATTCTCAGCTGTCCGTAGAATCTACAAGGGTTAGAACTTTTTGGTGCTAATGAGAATTATGGAGAAGTGCCTAACTCGTCTTTCGTAGACCATACGAGTTTACTAGTTTCAGCTTTCAGTTTGTTCTGCGTGGCTTGTGACTTGGTAGCATTTACCTTCTGGTAAAGACCGGCATTAAATGTTCCCTTGCCATGTTCTCATACTCAGTTGCTTTCATTATCACTGTGATGACTTCTTCAACTGGGCTCGTGATGATAAGTATTGTTTTGGACAAGTTCAATGGCATCCACTTGGCTATTGCCTTTGTGGTTGAGACGGCAATTAACCACAGTATCCGTTTATAATATGGTGTCAGGATATAATAAAAGGATGCAAAAGTAACTATGAGTCCATATCAGAAACCAATTATAGCCGGTTAGCAAACTAATTTTTCGAGCTACATACCCTTGCAGTATGCAAGAAATTCATCGTAATCTTTAGTTCATAGAGTAAACATGGTCTGGTGAGACAATAATATTGATGGGGATCTAAAGTTTATCCACGTTCTAATCGGTAGTAATCATTATCCAGCGAAAGTCCTAGCAAAGTGTGCTAATTTATCTGACAAAACTTTGCGTATTAACAACTAACAAATCGCTGTTTCAGAAACTGAAACAATTCGAATGAAAGTAGTATGAAGTACATAAAGCACCCTAGGACAGCTATAAAATGATAGATCATTCCATGAGAGTTATTCTGCCCATTCTATGATATATTTTGTTGGCTAGGAATATTTGCCAAAAATACAGATTTCAAGAGTAAATCTATCCAAAAAATAACCGATAAGCCCACCATCTCTCACTCATTGCACTTTACATGAAAAATACTCTAGGTTGGTATTCAACATGGACCGATATCAGTTGGAGAAATATTGATAACCTGGGAACAGTAGAGAGTTGTTTCGTCCCACTATGAGACTTCTCAGCAGTGCGCACCCATGACCCCAACGGAGATCGAGCCCAGGACCCTCAGGTTCTGCAGCCAGCGCGTCACCATTGAGCTACTGGGTCAGAACCCAATGGTTCATATTTCTTACTTCTGTCAGTTCACAACAAAATATGACCTCCATCTAATGCCGTTGTTCAGTATCTGTCCTCATATCTGACTTGTTTGGCTTCCACACATAATTGACTTTCAGTACTACCTCTTACAGAATAAGTCATTCTCATCAACCTCAATAATATTAAGCACATATTGTGTAAAACGCACACCGTATAATCGCTTTACTGCAATTGAACAGTATGAAACTGAGTACAGAGAATCAGCAAAGCATAGATATAAATCTGAGAGTATATATATATATATATATATATATATATATATATATATATATATATATATATATATATATATATATACCCATATGGTAGTTCAAAGTTGAGTTTTGATTATTTTTCCACCGTGGCTGTAATTATAAATCGTTTTGTTACTGGGTGTTGATTGAAAGTGAAATGAAAACTTGTGTCTCAGTAGGATTTGAATGGGGTGGCTTCAGGTTGGTGATCTGGTGCTCTACCACCACATCTGTGAAACCTAGCTCTTGATCAGGTATTAAAGTTACTTCAGTCATCAATAGTTTTGCCTGGTGAGTCCTTTATACATAGCTGTTCATTTATCCTAATGAATTAGAGAGGGGGAAGTGTTGTGTTGACCATGGATGAAACTCGTACAATCGTGGTTTATCATCATTACCATTTCACCTATTATGAGCTTTTGATTTATATTTTATCCCTTGAGACCAATACTTTCCTTCTCAATCACTCCTCTCCACACTACCATTTCTATCATGTAAGCTACTCTTTTTACTGCTTTTAATTAATTTACTGAAAATCATTCCTACTGTTTTATAGTTTGAAAATAAATATAATTTTGCTAAGAAAACCTTGTTTCCTATTGAAACATGTAGTACTCTCATTAGTCAATCATTTATTCACTTCGGAGGATTGGTCACGCAACACTGGGTTGAAAAAGAAGTGAAATCAGTCTGTATTATCATGTTGGGTTTTATATCACAGATTCAGAGAATAAAATGTATCCTATTGCATGAGCAATTAAATTTTAGAATCATACTTCCTATCTATGCTATGGCAACAAACTATTTGAAATTTCTCGCTTAATACAGGCAATAGAACTAAGTAGGAACTTAATCATTCACATAGGTAATTTGTGGAGAATCGGTTGACTTGACAAATTAGTGAAGGTTCTGCTTTACAAATAAGAATACTTCAACTCAATTCAATGAATTACTGAGTACTTCATGAGTCAACACACACACAGAGTACTGCAATTTACTCAAGCAATAACCAGATAAATTCTACAAAAAGAACGTAAATTATCAAAATGAAAGTAATTCACCTCATCACTCTAGGTAAGCCATAAATGAAAAATTCATGCATGAGATTCTTTTAGTCGCATAATAATTGATTATGAAATAAATGGAATATCATAAACTATTGTATAAAACCAGTGGTATAACACTGTATCAAAGTTACTGTTACATAAATAACTTACATCTTACACGGAAAATATGAGAGAACTTTCTATTCATATTGACACACAATAACACTTAAAATCATTTGCATACAAACATTTTCTTGAAAATGGAATAAAATGCAAAACATCAACCTGAAAGATAGGTGAAGACGACAATTGAATTGTTATTTCTCTCAACAATGGCTAATCAAGTAGCTTAATCTAAAACAGTTTGTAAAAGTCACCATCAAATCCAGGCAGGTATCCTTATAAGTCAACAATGGATCATTGTACCCTTCATAGACAATATCCTAAAGCTAGTATGTAAATTGGGAAAAATTGTTAGCAATAATGCCAATTACGAAACTGAAACATCTCTATTAATATTTAATATAAAGATTAAGAAAGAAACGCAGATATAAGCTAAAAACTCACTTTCAATAAGTGCGAAAATAAGTCATTCAAAAAAGGATTATTTTCTTCATTTTTGCCTAGTCGAAAAATAATTGGCTGTTAGACATCACAACACATCAATGTATGTGGATAATAATTCGATACTGAATATTTAGACATGATACATAGAAAAACCAGATGCCATAATACTTTGAGACAAGAGACACATAGAGACCTACAAGTTTAGAGATAAGATCAGTAAAACATCCATCAGAATGGCACAGAAATCCAGTGATAACGAAGTCATTACTAACAGTCACTCATAGCCTCTTTCGTGAAGAACAACTAATGAGGAACTTGAGAAGAAATTCTTATTTCTTTTTGAGCGTTGTTCTAGTTCTGTAGTTTGGGAGATGGTGAAAGGTTAGTGGTCGAATTATGCACCCAGGAGGAATTCAACACCGTCAAAATTATGGTATCTCTTCCGTCCTCTTTTAGAAACTTCAGATAATGCTTTAGGGAGTTTATGTGTATTTTCGCTAGGCACCAGGAAATATATGCAAACAAACAAGGCAAATTGTTCACTAGACTTTCAAGTAGGTATTTAAGTGACTTCAACTTTTAAACATTTTTAGCATCAAATCATTAGGAATAGTATTTTTTTGACTGATGGAGACCAACGAATTATATTGTGAACTTGAAACACGATGTGATGACTAAATTAATTCGATAATTTACTCACTTCAGGACTGAATCATTTAAAAATTGTACTCATTTAGACATTCTTTATAAATAGCATACATTTTTTATTACTTTGATGCAACAAATTTCCTAACTTGGAATAGGAAAACGATAATTCCACCCTTCATCTAGTATTTCCTGTGATTTGCACAAATGTGATGGAAACGGTAAAGGAATGAATAGATTCCATTGTCAGTATGTAGAAAATTTCCTAATGAAGCTATATGTAACCTTTAATAAGGTGAATTTAAATCAAATCTGATATCTAACTTGAGGTTGAATTTTCTAAAGTTTACTGTGAAACTGTCACGTATAATACAGCTACTAATCCATTGGTTAATCGTTTTGCCAGACGTTTCGCATATTTCTTAAGAAGTAGTAGAATGGAATAAAACCGTCATCCATTACAAGATGATTTGCATCGATTACTCAACTTACATTCATCATAATCTAATATATTATCAGAATTTTACTAAAGGTAACTAATCCATGAGTTAGGTGTAGATGTTTCATATTAATTTACCAGCTTGAATCATGTCTATCTATTGGTACATTCAGCGCATTTCTCTTCGTGGTTTTGATTTATAACAGAACATCACTATCTGCATCTTTATCAACCATTGACAACCCATGTGAACCAACTGAAATCGGTGTCAAACAATCTGTTGCCCGATGTCTAGACCAGATCGTTCAAATGCGTGAGGTGAGCATTTTAGTAATCTAAAAATCAACCATTAAAGTGATAAATGATGATAATTAATTACATTAATAAGAGATTAGGAAGATAAATATTGCGAAGTGGTATCACTTCTTATTTTATCTACAATCTCATAACAGGCAAAGTGGTTTAAAATCATAAATTATACATTCTTGGCAATGAGTTAGAGTGAAATAAACATTTAAATCGTTGCATTTTTAATCATCACCCAGTATCAGTAAGATCAGCTTGCCAAACCAGGGTTGTCTTAGATGGTTCCATTCACATGTGAAAAAAGAGGAAATAATATTGATGATAACAAATTGTTATAATAGGTCAAGTGATATGCCGGCAGACAAAGCGTCGCATTTATCGTTTTGTGGACACAATTTCAAGTATGTGCGATGAAGCGGAAGTACTTCTACAACCTATAATAAATCTGGGTGGAAATTATGTGAAACAACTGGATAACAACTAGCAGCATTGATTTTGTGATCAGTCATCAATAAACACTTCACAATAAATGAAGCTTGATTCTGATTCGTGTTATGCATATTTGGTTCAGTCATATGATTTGACAGCCACCGAAAAACATGTTCTTTCCAACGGTATCTTCTCATTCTCTCAGTTCTACCAATCTTAGTGTCCTCACACCTACAGGTAAACTTACAGATACAGTGTGATGAGAAGTAAACGTAATTCTCCTGTTCAGTTCTTTGGACTGGAAGAGGATACCCCTTTGAAGTTAAATAAAGAAAAGTAGCATATAAAGTGCGTTTGACAGCTGACCCAAACCTTTGAGCTGTGAAGTTCATAATTTGATCGCCTTTAAATGGTAGTTTATTGAAGACCATTTTCCTTGTCACAGTTGCTGTCTTCTTGTCAAGTAGTTCGTCTTTACTGTGGCATCCATCAGACTCAACTTTCAAAAGTATACCAACAAATGAATTACACTGTCACGGGAAGCTCTCTTAGATCCATGTTCGTCGACACATTTTTTTCTAAATTGTAAAAGGAAACTAAAGGTACTTCTCAAAGCTTTACTTTTTGTAAACGCTATATAGATAATCAAGACAAAATGTGAGATATCGAGGAACATCCCTGAAGAAACCTGTGTGGAAGAACACTGGAAGTCTTTGAAAGAGATGTGGAAAGAAACATGCACAGCCGTATTAGGAAGGAAGAAGAAAGAAGACAAGGAATGGATCTCGATGGATACGTGGAAGCTGATAGAGGATAGGAGGATGATGAAGCAGAAGATAAACCAGTGCAAGGATGCACAACGACAAGAGGAGCTAAGCACGATGTATAAAACACTGAACAAAGAAGTAAAGAAGAGTGCACGCAAAGACAAAAGACACTTCTACGAAACACTGGCAAGTGAAGCAGAACAGGCTGCAGGTAAGAGAGACCTGACGACATTGTATCAAATAACCAGGTTACTATCATGGAAGAGATCAACACACATGAAACGAATAAAATATGATGGAGGAAATATAATTACTAAAGAAGAGAAACGAAAGAAACGATGGGCCGACCACTTCAAGAAGCTCTTGAATCGACCACCACCTACACTTTGTCCAGAAATACCACCTACAGCCGCTGAATTACAAGTGAACATAAATCCTCCAACGAAAATGGAAGTCCTGAACGCCATAAAGCTACTGAAATGTGGGAAAGCAGCAGGACCAGACGGGATCCCGCCAGAAGCACTGAGAACAGATGCAGAGACAATAGAGGAAATGCTCACACCACTATTGCAGAAGGTGTGGAAGGAAGAGAAGGTACCTGACAAAAGATTGGAAGAAGGGTCACCTTGTCAAACTGCCGAAGAAGGAAGACCTCAGTGTTTGCAAGAACTGGCGAGGAATCACTCTCCTGTCCATCCCAAGCAAAATATTAAACCGCATCATCCTGGAGAGGCCAAAGGATTCACTGGATTCAAAACTACGACCGGAACAGGCTGGCTTCAAGATGTACAAATCATGTGCAGACCAAATTGCAACGCTACGCATCATCATAGAACAGAGCATAGAATGGCAGTCAACTCTCTACCTCAACTTCATCGACTTTGAAAAGGCCTTTGACAGCGTCGACCGACAGGTCATTTGGAAACTGCTTCACTACTACGGAATACCGCAAACCTTTATCAATCTCATTCAACAACTATGTGAAGACGCCACATGCCAAGTAATTCACAATGGGAAGCTCAGTGATGCATTTCAAGTGAAGACAGAAGTGAAACAAGGTTGCCTACTATCCCCCATGATATTCCTGATTGTGGTAGACTGGATCATGCGACAAACAGTGGGGAGCGTGAGAAGATGGGGATATGCTGGACCGCGAAAAAGAACCTAGAAGATTTGGATTTCTCCGATGACTTGTGAAAAAAAAAAAAAAAAATTGAAGATCTACAGGCGAAAACTAACAAGTTGAGAGGTGAGGCAGCAAAGACGGGACTTCAAGTGAATATAGAGAAGACAGAGGTGATGAAGATATCTCACCAACAACTCCAACAACAACAACAAACTCCAGTCACCATCAAGGGGAGAAACTTGAAGGAAGTAACCTCCTTCACTTATCTAGGAAGCACTGTTTCAGCTACAGGCGGGACGGACGAGGACGTCAAAGTCAGAATCGGAAAAGCAAGACAGGCATTCATTAGCCTGAAACCAGTGTGGAGATCTTCTGCACTCAGCATGCGGAACAAGATACGGATTTTCAACACCAACGTCAAGTCAGTGCTCCTGTATAGTTCAGAGACTTGGCGCGTCACGAAAGGGATTTCCAATAAACTACAGACATTCATCAACAACTGCCTACAAAAGCTCGCTACTGAAGATCAGATGGCCAGAAAGAATAAGCAACAAGGAGCTAAAACTGGGAACGAACCAACCAAGAACCTATCACGCAACAAATATGCAGGAAGAAGTGGAGATGGATTGGGCATGCACTGAGAAGGCCGACTGGGGACATCACGCGTCATGCCAAAAACTCGAGTGGAATCCCCAAGGGAAGCGACGAGTTAGACGTCCAAAAAGAGGGTGACAAAACGGAGATCATGCGAGGAGGAAATGAGAGGTTGTGGGCTGTCGTGGAGCCAGGTTCAAAAGATTTCGGAGAACAGAGGTCACTGGAGACGTGCTACTGAATCCCTGTGTTCCATTAGGAACCCAAGGGACTAATAATAATAATAAAATAATAATATAGATAACACTGCTGTATCTTGGTACAGGCAAAGACCATGGATCAACTAAAACATTATTACCTTATGCAGTCGCATTCATTCAAATATTTCGATGGCATCTGAACAATAAAGGAAGTGAAAATTGGGTTTTCTGGACGTTTTAGCGGCTGAACTAAGTGAGGGAGCAATCTGAAGATTCATATTTGAAAAAATCAACCTTCAATAAACAATATTTTGATTTCAGAAGTTGTGTTCCTGTTCAGTATAAACTTTTTCCGGCTAAATGTCCATTCGCAATAGCTCCTCGAAATTTACCAGTTATACACAGTGTGATACAATACATTGCATAAATTCAATGATATGTATAAAACTTGGGCACTGTTATAGGATCTAATTCAATATTAGGTTTGTTCATTTGATTTGTATCGCACAGTAATACAGTATTATTTACCTGGTGACGTTTAGAGCATAAATTATTGCTCACAATAACATCAATAATCATATCACACTGATGTGAGTGTGAGCAACAATTTACTCTGGAGACGTCATCAAGTAGATAATACTGTATCACAACTATGCGATAAACATCAAATAAAACAAATCTAATACGCAACTGCATGAATTCAGTTCTGCAGACTAATAGTTATCCGGAAATTTCCATTGCATACCATAATAAAGACGAACTACTTGACAAGAAGACAGCAACTGTGACAAGGAAAATGGTCTTCAATAAACTACCATTTAAAGGCGATCAAATTATGAACTTCACAGCTCAAAGGTTTGGGTCAGCTGTCAAACGCACTTTATATGCTACTTTTCTTTATTTAACTTCAAAGGGGTATCCTCTTCCAGTCCAAAGAACTGAACAGGAGAATTACGTTTACTTCTCATCACACTGTATCTGTAAGTTTACCTGTAGGTGTGAGGACACTAAGATTGGTAGAACTGAGAGAATGAGAAGATACCGTTGGAAAGAACATGTTTTTCGGTGGCTGTCAAATCATATGACTGAACCAAATATGCATAACACGAATCAGAATCAAGCTTCATCTAATGTGAAGCCCTTATTTAAGAAGTTCTTGAGATATATTGAACCAGGATGAAAGAGCTGTCTGTTTTTATCGGTTGTGAATAGTTAATCACTGCCTTATGTAAATTACCTTGAAAATTTCAACTGATGAATTTTATTGTAATTTAAATAAATGTGATTATTTACACTTTATTCGTTTCCATCACACAAAATTCTATCTAAGGCTGGAAACAATTTTCAAAATAAAGTTCTTGAACTTCAAAACCAGTTTGAAGCTCAGCATAAAGCTGGTTTAGCAGTGAATGTGGAGTTGAAACAAGCGAGAGAACGAGCACAACAGGCAGAAACAGACTGTGCACAAATGAAATCAGAACTATCAGGCTTACGTATTTTGAACAAACAAGATCACGAAGAAAAAGAGAAAGTGAGTAATAAGTTTAGGTTTAGTAATTGTTGATCTGCCATTTCACAGAATAAACGTCCATTTATTGGAGTCTAAAAAATAGTAACAATGATTTTGTCATACTTGATTAAACAAAGCCTTCAGAGAACAAATGTGTTTCAGGAAAGTTTGTTATCAAAGACTGTACAATAAATAACTGAAGTCTGTAGTGGATCCAAAGAAGTGTCAAGTAAACCAAAACGTAGAACTACGTATATTTACAGAAATAGATTCATCGATATACAAATATGAAAAGTTATGAGTTATTAAACAAAATAGTAATATCAGTGTTATGGATAATAACGGGTGGCTTGAATGTTATTTCTTTAGTGCTGTTCACCACAATTTAGTATACTCCAAAGTTAGTTCAGAAGGCAATAATTGTTAGCTCTCTACAGTCGACATTGTTTGACTTTATTGTAGTGATATATGGAAGTAGGATGAGTGGTCTTGTAAAATCCAAAGACAATAAGTGAGTATTCACGTCAGACAATAGTCAACGGAGGCAGAAGTTGGAGTGGATAGAAGCACACTATACTGCCACGTTTAACATCAGAAGCAAAGTCAGTAATACCGCCACAACTAAAACGTGTACAGATAAACAACATTCGTTTTTACAAGTATTAGGAAGAATGTACAAAATAAGTAAGAGGCGATGAAAAGGAAACATTATTTTTAATTTAAGTGGTTTATACATAATTTCGTGTAGTCTCCACAAGTCTTTATTTTATGGTCAAGTGAATGCATTAAAAATTTGCTTAAGATATTGATTAATGCAGAGGTTACACTGAATTTTCCCTATTGTAGGCAATTGTAACTGATGCATACCATTCTGACTTACCATAAAATGTTTACAAGCAAAGAATGGGTCTTGACTACCTGAAAACAACTCATATTTTTCGTATTATTAGGAAAGCATCTGAAGGTATTTTTGAGTTTAAAGTCATCTCCAAACCGCTGAATGTGATGTTGTTTGGATAAATATGGGAATAAGCAAAGCTATCTGTATTATTTTTTGTTCAAAGCCTTGATAAAGGTGAGTGGAGATCATTAAAGTGTAAGACTTGCGATCATCAGTCTAATTAGCCATTTCGTACATCCAAAAAATAGTGATTGTGGTATTAAGTTGGTTGTTTGAGTGTTTGTGCGGAGAAATTAACAGTAGACACTAAAGACGATTCAGCTGGACAAAAACAAATGATAGTTGGAATGACGTTAAAATATCGTCAGTTGCTGGTTTGTTCGGCACAGTACTCGTTGTTATTCGAGTACCTGTTATTTTAACTACTATTGTGATTCAGATTTTCGAATAATTTAGGTCACCATATACATAACATAATAATATAGTCAACCGAGCATTTCTGCATAATCGTCCAAGATCCCATATCTCATACCAGCAGATCAATAAGGAAGGTCCTAAGATGAATAATGAAGAAATAAAAGAAATCACTCAAAAGCCATAGAAAGCAGCAAGAGAGGAGAGTGGAAGGAAAAATGCTGAATACAGTTTGACGATCATGATAAAGATAAGGCATGGATGCATCTGCGCTTCGAACGTTGATTCTGATGCGTCTTCAATTACTGGTTTCTTCTTTCATGCGGACCCCAACAGGCTAGTCTGCATTTCCATACACGACTCAGACCAAACGTCAAGGATTTCATGAACTGATGCCGTGTTCTAGTGGGACCACCCTTGAGCTTTTTCAAGCCTAAAATTCATTGAGCTAACATCAAGCGACGAGACATACGGTGACTAGGTATGCGTAACATATATTTCAACCATCTCAATCCATGGGGGTTCACAACCTCATCAACTGATAATCCTCTATATATACTTATGTCATTGATAACGTAGAACAAGGGTGGAGAGAGTGGATATACTTAGTGAACACTAGTTGGCGTACCCAACTTACCTGATAATTTGTCATGAGCTCTGACATGTCCACGTATGTTCGAGTAGAGAACCTTCAACAGAGCCATGAACTCGTTCAGCATCAATTAAATTGAGAAGCCTTTCTAAATAACCGCATGTTCTACGGAGTCAAATGACATCTTAGGATCAAAAAACGCGGCTAGTGCTGGGTGTCGGCAAGTATGCTTGCGTTTCACAGTCTGGTGGATAGTGAGTATCTGATCTATACATCCACGGCCAGTTCCGAAACTTCCCTGGTATTCTCAGGTTTGTTTTTTCCGATCTCCACTCAGGCGTCTGGAATTTATCAAACCTAAAATCTCGGAAAGTATGCTTGTCAGTCTGAATCTCTTGTGTTTATCACAAGAGGATTTCTCCTCTTTCTTCAAGATTGGGACAATCACTGGTTGAGGGGATCAAATCTGACTCCTGAACACATGCTAATACTTAAGTTATTCTGACCGATGCTCCTCGATCACTGACCTTAAATATCCCTGGTACTAGTCCGTTTGGCTCTGGTGCCCTTACTCATTTCAACTGGCCTATGGTGTTCTAGCCTTTTGTAAGTGTTTAGAGTTCTGTCTTCATTTTCCATCCAGTTTTCGCTTGTATAGTGGGCAACGGAATAGCAGCTGGAAGTCAGTTGAACTGTTCCTCAAAGCGTTTCCCAAATCACTCCAGTCACCACTGTTGTGAGCGGATCACAAAAAGCACTCACCAACTACGGCCTCACTTACCACCAATCATGTCGCGCAGTTTCCACGATAAGTATTAGTAACTGTCTACTGTCACCTATTGCCACTATCTTTACCATCTCTTTAGTCTCCTTTACCATCCACTGCTCACGGTCACCATGTATGCTTTTTATAAAAATACATTTTAGTTGCTTCCGCTCTTCATTGTGCTCAGAGCCACTAAGGAAGAGTTCATTTGCATCCCATTATCCGGAAGAATTACTGAAGTCCACTGGCCATTTTTAGACACTCTGAGCCTTGGCTATGGTCTTCGACGCTGTTTCTACAGCAGAAAGGAGATGGCTTTAGACTTCTTCTAGACGAGTGATGCTGTTTTGTTCCAATAAGCTTCTAGACTGTTCCTCACTGAAGGAGCTCCATTGTTCTCATTGTCCAGCGACAAGCGATAGCCATGCGGTCTATCTGTCTCCACCGCTGAGTTGATGTCGGTAGACACAACGTTAAACAATGCCTCTTTTTATGTCTAAAGTTCGTGCTTGTCAGAAATAAGTGGTTGTTTGAGTACAATTTTAACTGGCAATTGCTGCTATCTGCTCGTTTGGTTGGGATTCGAAAATTGTCACCTAAGTGCCTTTCTGCATGACTTATCCTACACGCTTGTGTATTTAAATCACCTGCTACAACAAACACTTCAGAATGGTCGACTCTCAGTAAGAGACAAGAAATTTCTCGGCAGAACTCATCTTTCACTCCATCCGGAATGGAGTTAGTGGGTGTGTAAACAGAGATTACAAAGAGATAATCAAGTGTCACTATTCCGCTTTAGTCCTCACTGTGCTCTTTAGTCAGGCAGCTCACAGATGACGCCCAACTGAGATCCAGACAACAGTCTTTGTTCCTACAGGCGTATCTCAGAAACACAGCACACATCCATGGTCCGAAATGATGGAGTTCTGGATAGTGAAGCTTACTGACCGATATAATAGGGAGTGCAAACATTAAAAGCTGCAATATGAACTTTGGCGAGACATGTCAAGACACGAGGGATGCTGTTTAGTAAACTAAGATGGCTCTTTAAAGCCACAGTTCTGAAAGAAATAAGGGATGATGTAGGATTATTGACCAAGAGACGAAAGAAAAAGTTGGCATGTATGTGGATAGTGATCTAAGGTAACATGAGAGCTGACAAAGTTGTGAGGGTGGTTGATATTCCTCGGCTACCCACACCGTAGAAGGCATTTTCTTCTTCTTATGGTGCCTGGCGAAGAATGATTAGAGCTTGGCCACAGATCGCATGCGACGTTGTCTTGAGGTCAGTCACATACGGGCCTTTTAGATACTGGTTAATTTATTTTAGTTTTTGCGAATATGAGCCTATATATAGGGCACCGGTATGCCTTGCGGTACAGGTGAGTTTGCTATCTTTAGAATCGACGTTCTCTAACTTCTTTATTAGTAGAGAAGGCAGCACCGGCGGTCATCCGCGATAAACATCTTACTGCCAGAAGTACGACTTCACCCTCAAACCATCAATACATTGTGAAATTTCATATCACAACGTTAACTGTTTTTTTCTGTGACTAATATCCAAGAGATCTTTCCGGTATCGGAGGACCACTCGCATAGCTCGTGGGTCATTGCAATATGCAATGCTGACCACTAAGTCAAAGTAGCAGGTAAAGGTCGTCATATCCGATTACTTGAGTAATTTATTCAGCAGGTATGTTCGATTATTTTGGTTAGAAACTGAATTAGGTACCAGGATATCCTATTTAGCATTGGTTGGTAAACTGGTTTGCCTGCCCAAAAATAATGAGTGACGCTGGAAAATTTCTTCTGCTGTTGGATTCGAATCTTCGTGACTATCAGTTTTATTCTAGACGCTGTAAAAATCACACCCAGGGACATGATCGTTTATTTAGTTTTGGTGACACTTTTGGCAACCACCTGAGCTGTTTTGTAATAAGAGAAGTATGGTAATCTCACATCGTCATAGAAGCTAACAAGCTGCCTTTTTTATCCTAGTAAAAACTCATTCCCACTAGACAACATCAGCGAACGATCAAACAATAATTTACAATAACCCTGACTGGTAGACTAGTTTACTGATTCTTAGAGTTCTTCAGAAACCAACATTTCTGTCTTGTTCTCATCACTTTCAAGAACACAAATCGTTTCAGTTTCAGTTAGTTTCAGTACCATTTTGTTTTCTGAATACTAAGTGCTAAATCTTGTTTACTCTAATTGAGGTAAAATCCCTAATAATTCAACTGCGTGAGTATTTGGGGCTGCAACTAGATCATCAAGAAGTTACCATAACTGAAATGATTTCAGCTTGTCTAGGTAAGACTTTTACTATTTATTTGGTCTTAAGATGCTGATCACTTTTTACCAATGGTATTTGACCTATATAGACATCCAATGCTAAGGAAATAGGGAGTTAATGTTGACCGAATTATGGTGCAGTACGAATATATGACAATACCAACAACTGTTCCTAGCCATGTGAGGATTTTCTGGCCAACTATCTGAACACACCTGTGGAAGATCAGTCCTTTAAAATAAGATATGTTAATAGTTAAAGTGTGTCTTCGACGACGTTGCATAGAAATACGGCTGTGAACATTTCCAAGGCATTTTTTGTATCTATGTAGGACTCAGGTAGGATTTCATCATAGTCTAAAACAACCCTAAAACTCATAATACATAAAACAACTTACAGATGTGCCGGCTTGAGTGTCTTACTAGTAGCGCGAATTGTCGAATGATATTCTGCTTATACGTAGTCATATCTATTACTAAGAATGTTTTTTTTCCGGCTGTAATAAAGCAGGAGGATAATACTAATAAACCTCTTACTAGACATCAAAAACTATCAATTCTATTAGTTTCCAATTTATTATGAAAGTAATTGTGCTGAAAATTGTTGAGTTGATACGTAGTGACCTTCATCAATTGACTAAAGTATAATTTATTTGTCAAATAACGGCTGTTTAGTCGCTAGCTATTCTTTTAACTTCACTCCTCGTCCCCAGTATATGTCCGATGAAAATCATAAGTAGGTCACTATTTAGGCTTAAGCTTGACACATTTGATTACTGTGACATATAGACAGCAAATAAACTTGAGTTTGGTTTCAGAAAGCAAAGTAATTACTTGAAAATTTATCATATCCAATACAAGTTTCGATGACAAGCTGCTTGAATCTGAATAATAGTTGTCTGGGGGATCGAAAATAGTTTCAACTCAGTTTGATTACTTGCCAGAACTCTGAAATACTTTCATATCAGGATAGTGAGATGGTTGAACTATAATTATGAAAGAAATGGAAACTTTCAATTTCGTTTAATCTAGGTACATCAATGATAAACTGTGACATCGGCAATGAAATGGTCAGTCAAAGGCAGAATCACTTCGTATCATATATCTAAGATGCTGATAGCTAATAATGACTTATTAAACTATTTTCCGTATTTAGTATGTTTCATACAGAATTCTCTAAAACTTTTATCCTGTATTGTGTGATCAATGATGTAAAGCGAAAACTGGAACTGGATATTACCTGCTTCTCTATTTGTGAATCTAATGTTGACAATCTTTTGAATCCACATTATGGTTTTAATAAAATCCTGATATACTAATTTTATCCCTGATAAGACAAAAATTCCAGCAAACACTTATTTTGCTTTAAGTGCAATCACGGCCAAGCTTGAAATACAATATTTTCATAGTGGAACTATAAACATATCCAGTAGTTACATGAACGTGAGGAAAAGCAGTTCATTGAATGTTTCATCTTTTTTCGAAAGTAAACAGGCATATGAATTTGACTATCTACCGCAGGTGATACGAATTTTATTTTACAAACACACCTGAGGCTAACGCCATTGAGATAATGAAGCCACAGCTGGGTGTTTAAACAAGCTGACACATCTCCTTGTTCTTCCATTGTTCTCTATTACCTTAAATCTTATATAATCTAGATATAAACTGTTACAATGGAATGCGCATGAATCTATGAACTTTTTTTGCGTGTGATTTCGGTAGTTTTATATCTTGATCTTTTTACAACAATTTCAATTTGCTAATATTTTTTCCCGTCCAAATCTAATATTCATGATTTAATTTTACATGTGTTAACTCCCACGATTCTCTTCCTGTCTTAATCACGATTAATGATTTCTTGCTTATTGATCTCTTCAGCCATAATTAGCAAAACTCATAATCTGGAAAGTAACTAAAACCTCAAAATATCCACTTAATTCTCACTGTTCAAATTCACGTAACCACTGGTTGTGTGTGTATTTCTGTTGTGGGAACCTTTTATTTTAAGTTTGTGCCTGTTGATGCTCCAATCAAAGTATTCATATCACTAAATCTTAATATCATCGCAGTGTGTTTAGAAAATCAAAACAAGATTTTGCTAAACGTTTCACCGTGTACGCTACAACTTCTTTAGCAGAATATTATGCTGAAGAGGCTTGAATTATGCTAAAACTTACCTATATAATGATTAAATTAGACTCGGTGCTCAAATTCTTCCAGAATATTCGAAACAACTATAGACCACATGTTTATAAAATAAGTATTTGCTCGGATTTCCATCATCTCTAAAATTTATGTCACTACACTTTTACCATTTAACTATCTGAGATAGTCGTAGTTTGGTTATGATTGAAGATGAAATGAAAGTTTGGACGGCGACCGGATTCGAATCAGTGACCACCGGGTTTCCCGACAGTGTTCTACCAACTCAGTTACGAGGTCCGACTTCTGACCAAATTTTTATTTCACTTCAATCCCCAAATGTTTAGTTATAAGGTCTATTAATAATAAATTTCCGGGTTATGGTGAACAGACTCTTCAAAATTTACTGAAGTCGAGAAATGGCAGCTGAACTCCGCAACACTGGAGGGTTTGAAACATAAAGTTTTTGATTCTTGGCGAAAGGAGAATTGAATGAGAAGCTTAATATTCAAATAATGAATAATTGCTGAAAGAATAACTCTAAACTAAGACAGCTAGCCACATTTAGTAAACATTTTCTTCCATGCTCATTGAAAACTCTAATTTAACACAGTCTGAAAGTAAAGTACTACCTTCTTTAAGTTAAATTTTTAGTATAGAAGGAAACCTACAAAGTTTGAATAAAGTATCCTGAGTTGAATCGATAAATAATAGGGAAAATAAGTGTTTCGCCTAGAAATACTGACTTCCTTCAGTTAAAACACTATAAAAATAAAGAAGTAAAAACCAAAAGTCTTTCAAACATACTGAAAAAATGGAGCACATTAATAGAATGTTAATAAACAAATGAAAAGTAACAAAATGTTCAAAATTTTGAGGAAAACACATGTCATTACGTCTACACCATCATGTTCGATATGAAACTATGCTGTCTTACCATTGACTTCTAGCTTATCAAGCACCCTGAAAGGTTGAACTATACTCCAGTATGAAACAGTCATACAGATAGAAATATCAGGATAGAACCATCAACAGAAATGCATCGGTTCAAGTTGCCTCTTTTCACACATACAATTAAGTAGTGTAGAAAAAGAATAGTATCAAAGTTAACAAAAATCGAAAGAAGGAAACGAAATAAAATAAATGAAATTTGGTGGAAATTATCAAACGTTTGATGATAACATAGAGAGAATGGACTGTAGCAAGTTTTCACCTTTTATCAACCCAATACTCTTTCAGTTAGAATCAAACTCAAGGTAAGCTGCAGCTCAGCACGCGCACTAATGTTCAAACCACTTCAGTCGGTGAAGGTTCACTATTTGTCTGACTGACTTGCTTAGTAATCTTGACGTAAGATTGATATTGCTCACACGGTGGAACCACCATAAATAAGCAACTTTATGAAGGAACTTGTGGCAAAACTCCTGGTATCTCTTCATATCTACCTCCATAGCTTATCTCTCAAGCAGCATCATAAAACAGAGTGAACTGAAGAGTAGTATACTTGGTTTATTGTAGGTAGTCGTAGAGGTGGTGCAAATTGGTGCATGCGGAACAGGCATTTGTATGTCCAGTGGTGATTGCATTTTCAGTCACGAAGCATCAGCTTACATTCGACGGGTGTGAAACGCATTCTAAACACAATCAGATTTCTACTCAGTCGGTTCAGAAAACCCTGCATTCTATCAGTGTTTTGCTTAGTAGTACTACATTATCTGTGTGCTCCCAATAAGCCAACATGCAGTAACTTCATGCATTTGTTCGTATCTATATCTCACTGTGTTGCAAACTTTGTTAATAAGTTCTCCTTTAACTAGCATAGTGAATTTTTGCAGCCAGTGGTTGTATGACCAAAATATGTCTTAAGCATGATAGTAAGTACTTAAGAAGTTTGTTACATTTAGATCATGTTCTTCCCATGTTAAAAATAAACTTAAAACGCCGTCATAACTACACTACATTTTTCAAATGAATCTTTTTATTTATAGATCGCACAGAATATTTGTTGAATAGAGGTTGTTTACCGTGGGTGTGTGTACAGTCAAGCGAAGTACGCGATCATAATCACTTCAAAATTCACGAGCCTCATAGTTCTCATGAAATTGTGTCTCAAAATATGATAATATGAATAAATGCTTAAACGAGATAGAAAGCGTTCAGTCATATTCACCCTGTCACTTCCACAAGAACAAAACACCAGAAGAATATGAATGTGACCATCAACAAGTTGAACATTTATCAGATGAAGTAATCAAAAGGCAGGGTGATTTATCTTTGAAAGAGTGGAGATCAATTGAAAAGCTATGTAAGCTATGCAGCGGAAAACTGATAAAATCATTTTGCAATCAACTGAATGAATTATTTGGACAGACTGCAGAGATGCATCAAGCAAACAAACAAATTCCAAAGTGTAATGACCATATGTTGGTTAAATTGCAACAAGAACTTGAAGCTAAACAGTTAGAAGTGAATGATGTTAGGAACCATTTTGAAGTGGTGAGGGAAGATAGAGTGAGTTAAAACTTACAAAATGACAGAAAGGACTAGTTTTTAAACTGTTTATTCTAGTTTAGAAAACAATAATTCCTTTCAGTAAAAGCGCACTTCAAAATCCAATGCACCACAAACTAAGAACTGATTAATTCATATGGTCGCGGCTGCTATTTAGAATCCGATTTATCACATTCTGTAAAGAGAAGTTGAATTTCCTGAGGTCCCAAACACCGCCGGCTAATGGACATTGGTAACTAGATAGCTTTTATCCAGATACTCTTATCTTTTATCTGCAAACATCCAAGAATAGTGATAAGAATTATAAATTGTGAGAATAAATATTTACAAAAACTGGTGATTCACATAAACGTAGGATATTACATAGATCTAGTACTCCTCACATTGATGATATTTATGCAACAAGTGGCGTAGTGAACATACGGGTCATCTGCTGATTACTACTTGTATGTTACTACACTGTTAATTATAACAGGATGTTGTTTGAATAGAAATAACACCCAAAAATTGACAAAAGCAGCGACTGTCAGACTGAATGTTATATAAAAGTATGGGCTTTATGACTGTGGCTTATTACGTAAATGTAATCGGTGATGGAGGTTAGAAGCTATATAGGTTACTATGGTTTGCATTGGTGAATTTGTATCTAAGTCAATCTTCAAAATTTCAACGTTATATGCCGTCATTTTGCATTATCTGCTTTTCTTTGTAACTTGCATATTCCAATAACTCTTAATATTATCAGTCACATGTTTTTACCTTCTACTGAATCATCCTCGATAGGTTGATTTGAAGTGTGACAACTTCATCATGTTTATGTCAGGAATCAATTTAATTATATCTCTCCTATTACCTAATGCAAACCTTTGGCATTTTCAGCGTCATCTCATAACTCTCAGAAGTTAGTTTAAATACATAGGCTAATGACAGAAATAAACTTTAAACATGGGGAACACATGCTTTCCGTAAGACTGTGAGTATAAAATTTACATACTATACACATTTCGAAAGCAAGATTATGTCTAGGCTACTAGCAATGACCATCAGTGCTCACGAGTCACACCAGAGCGATATGATTGGCAAGAACCTATGAATCAAACTTAGTGCACCACTGACAGGCACTGTTCTGAATAAGCTGAACACCTATCTTATTCATAAGCCATTCTGATCTACCTTTTAGTAGAGAACTGTAGTCAATATCATATCTTGAAGCTATTTTTCTCCTCCTTTCATAATGTTTTACTACTTTTTGTTTGGTTCATATATTTATATACTTCTTATCATTTGACTATCTGAGATAGCTATGGTTTGGCAGACTAATATTGATAATGGATGGTGATTGAAGGTGGAATGAAAATCTTCACCGGGGCGGCATCCAGACCAGCTACCACCGAGTTTCCAGCCAGGTATTTACAGTTTAGTTTGTAGAGGACGGAGCCGGAAATCCGGTGGTCACTGGTTCCAATCCCATCGCTGTACAAATTCTTCTTTCACCTTCAGTCATCACTCACGATATTTACTATTGACTGAAATTGATATTTTAATCAAGAAGGCGAGAAATGCACAACAATATTAAAATTTATGGAGACTAAGTTTTTGACAGTTATCATAACTTTAGGTTGTACAGCCGCTACCAGAGAAATGATCTGTATCAGAGATGAGTGAAGAAATATTATCCGACCACAAAATGTTGATATAACCCTTTTATAAAAGAAATGATGATTGCAGACTCTAAAAGTATTACTTATACATTCGGTATGCAACTAAAAGACTTACCAAAGAAGCGTATGAAATTCATGTAAGCTTATGTATTATACAAATGGAGAGAGAGAAATAGGCACAAGTTTAAAGGATAAGCTACACCAAAATGATGTCTAAAAATGTTTTGCATTATAGGTATTTTATTGCTTTTATTACCTTTTTATTGTCACTGCTTTATGAAAAATAAAAATGAACATGCAAATAGTACTAACAAGGTTGGCCCCCTTCACTTTCTCACTTTTTTAAGTGTGCTTACACGGAGATAGTTAACTAGAGCTTAAAAAATAAATTTATGCAATAAAAAAGTGTATACGTGTAAACATATATATCTGTGAATGCACAGTAATTCTAAATTTTTATTTCCAAAAAGTTTGTTAAGAATCAGTTAGTGAAATGGTTATAGTGTTTAGATATGACAGTCTGTTGACCGAAACGTGGAGAGACAGTAGAAAGATCACTGTAGGTTCGGTTGGTGGCGGTTTAGCAGCAGAATGAGCTTGCATTTTTAATTTTCGTGGACTAAACTACGCTTATCTTTCAATGACGGCTGACTTTATTGAAACCTTCTCTTGATTACCATTTTTGTTGATGGAGAAGTATTTTTTCTTTACACATTCTGAGGAATCAAACTTCCATATGGTGACTGCAAACCTTTTCTGACTGTATCTGGTCAAACAAAAAGAAATCTACAGAATAACAAATGCTTGTTGGTCAACCCTCAGCTTTTTTCATGCCGGAATTCGTCGCGGCATCAGCTGTACGAGACGATTTCTAAAGGTGTGTACATCGACTGCGGATAACTCATAAACGCTAGCAATAAATTCAGGTTAAACTACGTATGTCCCATACGTCAACCTAACTGCTATACTTTCAGTGGTTGTCTTTGATGGTGGAATGGGTGCCAAACGACAAAAAGGTATATAATTGATCTATCTTGATACTATCTTTTGTGCTACAAGAGCGTTTTAAACTGTTCATGGGAGCTTTCCACCATGCCACTCACTGCTAGATGATACAGTCGTGCTTATGGGATGAACACCATGAAAATGAGGGAGTTTTCAGGATAAATTTGATTGAAACTGAAATCTCCTGTCAATGATGGTTGTTGAAGGCATACCGAAAGTTGGTATCCATACGTATATATAGTGACGGCGACTTCTGCAGAAATGCTACTTACAAGGTAAGAAATGACATTTAGCAATTTCGTGAAGCACAGCGAGGATATGATTGAAACCTTTCGATAGTTGAATTGGACCGGCTACATCAACATGGACATACTTGAAGCATATACCGTGAAGGCCGAATTTCTGGGGAGCTTTAAGTGTATGGCGATACAACATGAAGTGTTGAAAGTACAAACAATTTCATGCCCATTTTCAGATGAGAGACTTCATTCGGACCCACAGTGGTCGTTTCCCTATCTGTTTAACAGCAACTCACACCTGAGGGGAACAAACAATGAATGTAGAAGCTTGAAAGGTATAGAAATATCCTTGAGCAATGATGATTTTGCTTGCAAATAGATTTGGATCATTCTGCCGTAATTTTGCCATGTTTGCAAACTCAGTGCCTATTTGTCACGTCAAATGGTTGACTTCACTACAGTAACACTATTAGCGTTACCTTTAGTAAAGTGAATATCCAATTAAAACTCTGGAATATAATCTAGTTTCCTGGTCTCTCTCGGTGAGTGCCGTTTTGTTGATGTACGGAATGCATACCATGATGGTTAATGATTGGTTAGGATGCTGAAATCACTAAATTGCAACAGATAACTAAGATGTTTCACGGCAAGATATGAAGCAGTTCTCTTCCAAAGATTAGTTGCAGGATCTGAGCAAGTTATAATTCTTCAGAGAAGAATGCAAAACGGATAAAATCATCATTAATTTTGTTGCAAAACAGCTTTCATTGTTGTTTGAGACGCATCTATGGATGGAAGGGGCGCTGATCGATTCATATGCGACAACTTTATAACTTGCGAAAGCGCTCTGTTGGCATTTTTAAGAGCTTCTAATGCTGGACGTATGAAGATGAGGAGGAGTTTTGATTACGTTTCAAAAGATCTGTTAAAAATTGCGAAACAGATGTGAACGATATACCAAAATGGAAACAGAACTCAAAAATTTTCAGGGACAATCGAGTTTATCCGATGAATAAGGCTTTGAGAAATTTTTAAGCGCCTCAATCGTATCTTTCAAAGGCTGGTTATCAATGGTAGTGATAGGGTGCTATTAGACTACCAGTGACGATGCACTGAATTCACTCTGCTTCAGAATGATAACTACCCCATAATGTTGAAAGCGTCAAAATAATATGTCGGGACACTTGACATATTCTCCCATTGTAGTGCTTGATTTCATAAAATCGTTGATGTAAGCAGGAACAAAACTCAAACCTTGGGTAACCTGACCCATGAGTAGTTGTGAGGATTGTGAGCCCTTCCTAAGTTCAGAGGCCATTCTTACAAACTGAAATACACCAAAACGTGCTACGATGTCTTCTGGAGCATCTGGAATCTGATAATGTGCACAGATTAAATCTACTTTGGAAAATATTGTTTTTCCATGCAGTGTGAGAGAAAAGTTATGCAAATGTGACTTGCTTCGGAAATAATGAAGATCCACGAAAATTAGTAGTGAAAACCAAAGTATAATACCAGTGACTGCTCAACTGTTTTGCACAGAAGGTTTGCTTGCCCCGTGAAAGGATAACTTGCTTGGTGTTCTAGACAGTTACCATGAAAAAGGAAATGAAATGATACTAAATTCGCCACCAGTGTAAACCGAAAAATGAGAGTTTGAAGTTTCACACATCACATAGAAGTGAGTGGAATATCTACCTGTAAGTTATCACTGTTTCTCTGTTGATCCCCCCTGGGCGAACGATGCATACAAATTAAGGTGCATCTCTTAACCATGTGACTGAAATTCCAATGGAACCAGCAAACGTTCTGTGAGACTATTGGTATGTGGCATTGGTGTTCATCATATAGGTGTCTAAAATTTATGTACCTTAGATGGCAAGTATGTATATTACAGACACTATTCTCCAAAGCTTCAAAACTAGATGTCAGTTCAGATACCTAGGGTTTCCTGGAGAGGTACTTTGACTGATTTCTATTAAAACTATAGATAAAAAGATTGGTGAAAAGATTATAAGGATACACATCCACCATTTCATCAGCAGTATCCGTTCAGTAATGCGAAAATTCCCATTTAGACATTTGGTAAAACAATGTGAGAGAAGAAATATTTCTTTTCAATTAGTTCCTCATCAATGGCTCTACACTAATATAGCATTTTCAAACGTAAAATTACATACCAATCTAGTGGTGAGAGTTTTTCAATAAAAGGTTATCAATCTCAAAGTATCAAGAAGATGATAATTGATCAGGTAATTGAGACAGTTAACTAAAGCAAAGATTAATTGTCGTAGAAAGATTTTGTGAACAGGTTCTTACATAATTGATATTTTGTATAATGATAACTAAAGAGCGAAAATGAACTATAACGTAAACTAGTAAATTGTTGACGGTAATTAGACACAGTAGGGGGAGAGGAAGATGGTTAAGTCTGTAATAATAATAATAACAGAGCTATTAAAATATTAGTTATAGTGAATTGTGTGGGGATGAAATGAAGAGTCTTGTTGTAATAAATGAGCTATACAGATGGCCAAGGCAAAGAAAGAGGCTGTACGAATCTCTTCTGAACACACAGACTTGGCTTGTGTAGGGGTAGATTCCTATGGCTTCTGCTGTATGTAAAAGACGAACTCGTAGAGCATGGCTGAGGTGAGAAGGAATGTGATAAATAACTTTAAAGGCATTATGAATGTTAACTCGGTGGCCGGTGTCAATCAGATGAGAGAGTATTGAGCTTGGTATCAATCTGGTTTCCCCCTTACTTATCCATGAAGGATGATGCTCAGCGATTCGACGACGTACTTGCCTAACTGTACGTCCAATGTAACTGGCTCCACAGGAGAAGTTGAACTGGTAAATGCACATAGAAGAGGAGAAGTCAGGGAGTCTGTCTTTAATTCGTGTGGTCATCATCGGCCGGCTGTAGAAGACACAACATAACTTGACGGTATTAAATGATCTTATGGCATTTCTTAAGCGTTGTGTCACAATTTCGCTGATAATGTCACCTCGAAATTGTAGTCTTAGGAACAATGGTTTCTTAGAGACTGTAGGCATTCTGGTTTTCATATTGGATGTGTTCATATTTTTAGCCAGGAACGTTTCTGGACATCCATTACTACTGAGTAGATCATGGATAATTTGAAGCTCTTAATCAAAAGTATCATCTGAACAGATGAGTCTAGACCGATGGACCAAACATTTAACGAGATTTCGTTTATATTGCAAGGGGACGAAACTCAAGAAGTGGGTGTATTGACCTGTTGACGTTGGTTTCCGATACAAACTTCTTCTTATAGTTCCATCCACCTTCCTTTTCAATCGGACATCTAAGAAGGTGATGCTGTTGTCACTTTCTGTTTCAATAGTGAAGGTTATTGCAGGATGGACGCTACTGAATTCATCCAGTATGATCCTTGCATCGTCCTCGTTATTCACAATCAAGAATGTATCATCTGCATAACGGCAATAAAATTCTGATCGGCTTATGATACTTTCCAGAGGGCCATTTTCTAGTTTTGCTGAGAAGAAATCCGCTAAGATTGGGCCTAGCGGATTGTTATTATTATTATTATTATTATTATTATTATTATTATTATTATTATTATTATTACAGACTTAACCATCTTCCTCTCCCCCTACTGTGTCTAATTACCGTCAACAATTTACTAGTTTACGTTATAGTTCATTTTCGCTCTTTAGTTATCATTATACAAAATATCAATTATGTAAGAACCTGTTCACAAAATCTTTCTACGACAATTAATCTTTGCTTTAGTTAACTGTCTCAATTACCTGATCAATTATCATCTTCTTGATACTTTGAGATTGATAACCTTTTATTGAAAAACTCTCACCACTAGATTGGTATGTAATTTTACGTTTGAAAATGCTATATTAGTGTAGAGCCATTGATGAGGAACTAATTGAAAAGAAATATTTCTTCGCTCACATTGTTTGGTTTACTAAATATCCATTCAGCCGGCCAAGTCAATAGCGTTCAAAAAATATACTCAGTATATGACGAACGTTGTTAGGAAGTCTCTGTGACTAAATATGCCTCAAAACCACCTGATCAAATTTAAATGACCCCAGTATTTGTCGCCTGTGTCTCAGAAGTTACAAAGTATTTTGTCACCCACTTCACAAGTGTTCGATGTATGACTGTTGTTGCTAACTTGTCGTGAAGAGCTTCTTCATGGACATGACCTACAAAGTTTCCAAAATCCCTAGCAATCTGAATGAGCGGTACCCCGAAGAGGTGTGATTCAGTAGTAGTCAACTGAGTCACTAACAAGTTATTCAGGTTGAGACTAGCCTGCCATAATGCAAGAAGATATATGCCAGTCGGTTATATTAGATTTACAGATACTATCAGTGTTTACCGAGTTTATGTGTAAAAGCAGAGACTATAGTCACGTATGGTAACAAGGCTCTAAAGTTATTTACACTGGAAGAGAAACTACAAGTTAACATTGTCTAAATTATTCAAAACATAACTACTGAAAATGGATTCGATTGACATCGAAAACTAACTCTTACCTTTCGCTATGTGCATAAAAACAAAACTCTGCGCTGACTATTTCATTTATTTACTTACCTATATAAATCACCATATTTAATGCTTCTCTGAAGTATTAGCTGCGTTACTGATCGCCACATAGCATATCAATACCTCTCTTGTTCACCTATGGAACTGATTATTTGTATTTTATTCTAGTTCAACAATAAATAATGTTTTTAATTAAATTTTAGGATAAACAGATTGATGATCTGAACAAAACAATTGAAAAATTGAATGTATCTTTAAAATCTCAAAAGCAGAAGTCTGAGAAACTTCAAAAACTAGTTGAGCAGCAAAACTCGAAGTCACAAAACAAACAAGAAGCCTTTAAAATGGCAAAAAGCCTCCTAGTTGATGCACACAACAAGAAGAAAAAAGTAAGTGACAACCTATGTAAAAATTATGCTTTGTTTAACTGAAACCCGACTCACGTCTTCAAATAGGATAGTAGCTTCTAAATTCATGTACTATGAGCAAATTCGAGAACATACTGAATCTATAACAAGAAAGTGATGTCACCTTGTATCCAGCATTATTTCAGTGAACAAAACTAAAAATTCCAATTTGGCTGTCTGTGGGGATTTATTGACTTCAAGCTGGTACTCAATATGGACTGAAATCATCTGAAAAAAACATTGGAAACCTGGGACTCCTTAGAAGTGCGCACCCATGACCCCACCAGAGGTCAAGCCCAGGACCCTCAGGTTCTGCAGCCAGCGCGTCACCATTGAGCTACTGGGTCAGAACCCAATGGTTCATATTTCTTACTTCTGTCAGTTCACAACATAGTGTGACCTCTATCTAATGCCGTTGTTCAGTATCTGTCCTCATATCTGACTTGTTTGGCTTCCACACATAATTGACTTTCAGTACTACCTCTTACAGAATAAGTCATTCTCATCAACCTCAATAATATTAAGCACATATTGTGTAAAACGCACACCGTATAATCGCTTTACTGCAATTGAACAGTATGAAACTGAGTACAGAGAATCAGCAAAGCATAGATATAAATCTGAGAGTATATATATATATATATATATATATATATATATATATATATATATATATATATATATACCCATATGGTAGTTCAAAGTTGAGTTTTGATTATTTTTCCACCGTGGCTGTAATTATAAATCGTTTTGTTACTGGGTGTTGATTGAAAGTGAAATGAAAACTTGTGTCTCAGTAGGATTTGAATGGGGTGGCTTCAGGTTGGTGATCTGGTGCTCTACCACCACATCTGTGAAACCTAGATCTTGACCGAAATGGTACTATGTGACAAGCTATCTGCATTTATAAAACGATGATTATTGAGTTCAGGTTAAAAAGGTAAATAGTAGAATATCGATTACAAAACCTAAAGGTTCTGAAGTCATTCTCAAAAGTGGTTTTTTTTTCCAGAACGAAACCATTTCTCAGTGAAAATCAGTTTTAATTGCTTCACTTTTCAAAACACTATCTTTAGATAAAAGATAATCAAAATTCTGTTCAGAAAAAGGAAATGTCGGATCGTTTGACTCAGTTTGAAGTTTAGTTAACTTGCACTCAGCGCTGCTCATAAATGAAGATAGTTTATACTTAAAGCAGATAATTAGCCATTTAGGAAAACTAATAAAATTTTCACTTTCCAATTTTACTGTTATGCACAAAGAAAATTTTACCAATATAAACTAGTTTTGGACCATAAAAAGAGTACGTGGCACAGCCTTTGAATCCAATGCCTTAATAGTGTATTGATGCAAAAGTACACCAAGATATTATTAGCAGTGTTCTGGACAATTGTAGTGCCAGCTATCAAAACATCCAAACATGATCAGAGGTAGTGGACAGATTATTGCTGAGAAACAGTCGACCCTCACTTCTTCTGTAGCTTTCCTTTGCTTCATACAATGATAGTTTGAGCTTCACAACTGAACTATGCTATCTAGAAAGTAATGAAAAGTAGAAGCAGCTACGAAATACTACCGCTCTGAATAAAAGTAACACTATCGGTGGATATATGTCGGAAATGCTAAACTAGCAAATAATCAGTTATATATAAACTGTAATCTAAATGGAAATTATGATCTAACCGAATAACATTACAATAAATAAGTCTTTAAATTATAAGAAAAGCTTCCAGCGTGTCAACTTTTCGGTATATAATATTACTTACCAAAAACCTGGCAAAATGAATCACCTTGTTTCTAATAATCCTTGAGAAACTTTCAAATAATGAGCAAAATTTCAAAACCAGCTCTATAACCCCATACTCTGAGTATTACGCCGGATGACATCTATTAATACACAGGCATTTTTCATCTGGTCATAACTATTATTACTTGGATTGCAACAAACCTGTTCCAATTACATCTTCTCTCTTTGTTTCTGATTAGTTGGTGGTTGACACATGAAATTTCCAATAACAGTCTATATTAATTAATTTTGTGAGGTTTTCAGATTTATTATTAGTTAACCCATTCGAGATCACGTCAAATAACTCTACAACTAATCAACTTTTGCTTCTTCTTACTTTCTAAAAGCTGGGTACATTTCGTGACCTTATCGGTCGAATGGTGGATGTTGATACACGCTTCACTCCAAATCCCGACATGGTTATATTTCAGAGACTACAACAACTTATAGACTTTGCAGTTTCTAAAAGGTTGACATCAGTTGGGCCAGATGCAATAGCACCATTTAATAGCAAATATAACACCAATACACTTTATCCAGTTCAGAATTCTTTAGGCCTGCCTATCAACCAACTAAAATCCGCACACACAGCAAATTTAGCTCTTCCATCATGGGAGCAAAATCATGAAGGTAAGTGTTTTTTTCGCATTCATTTCGTCACAAATAAAGAGCATTTTATAAATTTCAATTAAATGAGAATTAGCTTTCTAAAACGTATAACTGAGGTGGTTTTCTGCAAGTAATGTAAGTGACTACAGGCTGATGCACTACTCTTAATAGATAAAGGATTGTTAAACTACCCAATTATCATTCGAATTTATTACTTATTATTATTATTATTTGTCCTTTGGGTTCCTAAATTTGTACAATCACTATCACAGGATTTATTAGATTGCAGTAGCTTACATGAGTCTTCTTCACGCCACAAGCTAAAACTAACAGTCTAATGTGCATAACGCCTCAGTTTAATACTGTTTGAAAAAGACCATTGTGTAAATTAAGATCAAAAACTATTCATTTGAGAACAATCTAACTAATAATCAAAAGATATAGAAACCGTCAGGTCATGAGTTAATTTTAGGATATTCGTTTTAGCAGAACAAGGTAAGTCATACAGAAAGAAAGAAAGAAAGTATGATGGTGAGGTACGCCGGCTTCAGTAAAAAATGAAGTGCAGCATACTGCTTCATTTCGGAAAGATAAGGAAGAAGTCTGCCTTACTGGATGCTCAGTATATGAGATGACAAGCTTATTCGACAAGTGTTCTAGCAAGAGTCAAATGCAGAAGGGAAATCTGAAAAGGCCCAGTGAACAGAATTAGCACTTTTGTCGATATCATCGAAAAAGGGAATTTTCTTCGCTGAATTATATCTTCTCTGTGACTCAATGGGCATGTTTCGTAGTCTAAAAACAATATCAAGATGCACAAAAGTGACCGCATCTAAAGTACTCTTATTATGCTTATGAGCAAGTTGTTTCGGCTCAGTAGAAGCCTTTAATGAAGGTTCGCACACAATTAGAAGTCTTTCTTTAAGCGTCTCCTAAAAAAACGGTAAAAGAGCAAGCCTATTCTTTGCGTCTGATCCAGAATATGACTTTCGTACAGGTAAAATTGTTCCCAGTGTTGGACACTCTATTTTTGGGAAATGATACATGGAAGGTACCTGAAATAGGATGTCACGAAATATGAAACGCTATTAATACCTAGGCTTCAGAATGAACTTAAGGATTTGAAACACTTGAAAACACCGCTTATATTAAGATCAAGGAAAAAGACATGCATTTGACTATTGACAATAGGTAGGGTTAAATAAGCTCGCTGACGTTTAAATGAGCGGTTTAAAGCATAAACATCATAAAAGACTGTTTATCACCATGGAAGTTTGGGGCTTTTTGAATAGACCAGTTCTTCCAATGTCCATTGATGACACAATCAAAGAATTGACACGGATTAAGGAAGTTTAAATGAAATAATTTGTGATTACAAAAATGAAGCCATCTTGTGTTTATATAATCAGATTGTCATCCTGATGTATGTGACCAATCAAAACGGAGTAGAAAGTATTACATAAGTGTCCGTGATGAGTTAATAATGTGAATACAGGACTGAAATGTTTTTGCATGGGTTAAGTTCAAGTCAGATAGGGTCAAGTAGTAAACTGGTGGAGATGAAATATGAATTGATTGGGAATTCGGTTTTCAAAGGGGATAATAAAACAGAATTTTGGAAAGAGTTATAATGAATGGCAAAACAAATCAATGGCGACTATGGGAGTTGGAGGATGCATAAGTTCGGTTTAATTCTTCTGCTGGTAATTGCTGCTGCGAATATTAGTAGCTTAGCATTATTTTGTTTGCTAATTATTTTAAATACTTTCAAAAACCTGGACGTCGTGTCATGTGTCTATCAGATGTTTAATGATGAAAATTTTAAGGTACTTTGGTTCCTTTAAGCTTAACCTGAATGTGTTCACGAAATTTAGTCAGCCCCTCTCCCTGTCCTTCCAATGCATATGCTCTGGCATGTACATGTCAATTGGTAGATACGATTTGAGGTGACATGATGTAGAACACTTTGTTTTGTGTGTGGAAACTGATTTAGCTGCTGGAAAGGTGATTTTTTGGTGCAGTTCTTATTCTCCTGTTGACCCGGTTCATAAGTTCATTCCCTTTGAAAGTTAGATGGAGAAACACAGGTTTCTTCTCGGGATTATCAAACACTTGTTTCTGCTGTTCCCGTTTTGATTTTATCTATAAGTCTTTTAGGGTAACCACTTTCTTCCAGACATCTCTCGATGAACTGAAATTCTCCATTTAGTTTCTCGGGTGAAGAAATTTTATTAGCCCTTTAAAATAAAGCTTTAACTAGTCCTTTGGTATAACTTATGGGATAGAAGCTGTTAAAATGAAGATACTGTCCACTCCATGTTTCTTTTCTGTTGACAAATCTCTGACACGACTCAACTATTCCTCGTCGAAGTCCCTTGTCTGAAAAACGAGATTCATTCTTTGTCACGTATTCCATGGTAAACTTAATATTCGTGTGTGCCTTATTGAATAGTTTTAGCAATGCTATCACATGATTCGTTTCGTTACGTAGAACAAACGTGTCGTCAACATACCTGTTATACAATTGTAGTTTGACTGATAGCTGTAGCTAAGGTGGTTCCTTTCAAGCTGACCATAAATATATCCACAATGATAGATACCAAAAGATTTTCTATTGCCACAACATCTGTTTGGCGTAATAATTTGTTATTGCATTGAAATTACACAATAACAGTAATTTCTTAAGTTCCTTATTGGGTATGCGTAGTTTATCTGAGTGTTAACAGACAGTATCCACTGTTTGTTTCAGCTGTACATTGGCAATTAACGCTGATATATCATAATATACTATCAGTTTATCTTTGGTATTGATATCGCTTATTTTTTGCGTGAATCTTAAATGCATTACAAATTCGGATACTATTTCCCGCATCCATGAAGTGTTTAACAATAAACGTTTCTTGCCGCTTAATGTACAACCTATTTGGAATGTGTTCACGAAAGTGAGTCTAAGCCCTTCTTTTTGATGTAAGTGCTCTAGTCTGTACACGTGGATCGGTGGATATAATTTGAGGGGACATGACCTGGATACTTATAGACTTCCAATCATTGTAGTGAACAGTGATTTGCATAAGCAGAATAACGTACCTTTTGGAAAGTTATTTTTGCAGCAATTTAGTTCATCCTCTTTCAAAACGAGATGATTGAATGCAGTTTTCTTCCCTGAGTTACTTAGTCCAGTTGCTTCTGCTGTTCTCATCTATAAATTTTCAGGCATAACCATTCTCTTTCAGACTTCTTACGATAAACTGAAATGCTGCAATCAGTTTACCTGATGAGCAAAGTTTCCTAGCCCTATGCAACAGAGTTTTGATCAGTTCTTGCCTATAAAACATGGTAAAGAAACTAGTAAAATGGAGATACGTTCTAATCTACGTTTACTTTCTGTGAACAAGTCACTTTGTCGAGGTCTTAACAATGAAACTCATTATTTGACAAATTCTACGGTAAAATTATTATTTATATGCATCCTGTTAAGTAGTCCTAACAAAATTTCTGGGACATTTCATCTTACTGCATAAAACAACCATATCACCAACGTGGATTACCTTCCTATCCGTTACTGAGGTCTAGAGATTGTATTTATCTGTCTGTACATATTTTTTATTTGTAAAGCCTGAATTAATATTTTTAAAGTGGCAAATAGATTTCTTGTTCGATCTCCAAGTCAAAAAACTCCAAATCATTGATTCAGGTAGGATGAATGACAAAGATTCAGTACAACCTAACAACCACATTAATTTTTTTATAATATTTATATTCTCTCCATAAGTGATGACACTAGTGAGTATCATGCAGAGTCCTAGAAACCCAAGACACTGGGGAGTAGCAGTGGTGCTTTCAGTCCTATGCAGACTAAACAGTTAGTCGTAATGCCTTAGAGAGTAAGATTAGCTGTTAAATACGTTTAAAAATAATCTGAACTTGCTTTCGTATTTATTATTATTATTATTTGTCCGTTGAGTTACTAATGGAACATAGGGCTTCAGTAGCACGTCTCCAATGCGCTCTGTCCTCTGAAATCTTTTGAACCTGGCTCCACGACAGCCCACAAGCTCTCATTTCCTCCTCGCACGATCTCCTCCATGTCACCCTCAACTGGGACGCCCCACTCGTCGCTTCCCATCTGGGTTTCACTCGAGGGCCTCACTTGGCGTGTGATGTCCCCAGTCGGCCTCCTCAGTGTATGCCCAATCCATCTCCACTTCCTTCCAATGCATATTTGTTGAGCGATGGGTTCTTGGTTGGTTCGTTGCCGGCCAGCCAGAGTTCCTTGTTGCTTATTCTTATTCTTTCTGGCAATCTGATCTTCAGTAACGAGCCAGCGTAGGCAGTTGTTGATGATTTATGTCTGTAGTTTGTTGAAAATGCTTTTCGTAACGCGCCAAGTCTCTGAACTATGCAGAAGCACTGACTTCACGTTGGTGTTGAAAATCTGGATCTTGTTCCACCTGCTGAGTGCAGAAGATCTCCACACTGGTTTCAGGCTAATGAACGCCTGTCTTGCTTTTCCGATTCTGACTTTGACATCCTAGTCAGTGCCACCACCTGTAGTTGAAACAGTGCTGCCTAGATAGGTGAAGGAGGCTACTTCGTTAAGGTTTCTCCCCTTGATGGTGATTAGAGTTTTTTGTTGGTGGTGGTGGTGGGTCATTTTCATCACCTCTGTCTTGAAGTCCCGTCTTCGCTGCCTCGCCTCTTAGGCCAACTTGTTAGTTTTCGCCTGTAGATCTTCAAGTTTGTGTGACATCAATCACAAGTCATCGGAGAAATCCAAATCTTCTAGGTTCTTTTTCGCGGTCCAGCGTATGCCCATCTTCTCGCTCCTCACTGTTTGTTGCATCATCCAGTCGACCAAAATCAGGAAGATTATCTGCGATATTAGCAGGCAGCCTTGTCTTACCTCTTCCTATCTTCACTTCAAAAGCATCACTGAGCTGAGCTTCCCATTGTGAATTACTTGGTATGTGGTGTTGTTGAATGAGATTAATATTTTGCTTGCTCTGGGTGGACAGGAGAGTGATTCCTCGCCAGTTCTTGCAAACACTGAGGTCTTCCTTCTTCGACAGTTTGACAAGGTAACCCTTCTTCCAATCACTAGTCAGGTACCTTCCCTTCCTTCCACACCTTCGGCAATAGTGGTGTGGTGTGAGCATGTCCGCTGTTGTCTCTGCATCTTTTTCCAGGGCTTCTGGCGGGATCCCATCTGGTCCTGCTGCTTTCCTACATTTCAGTAGCTTTATGGCGTTCAGGACTTTTGTTAGAGGATTTGTGCTCACTGGTAGTTATGTGGCTGGGCTTCAGATGGTATTTCTGGACGAAGTGCAGGTGATGGTCGATTCAAGAACTTCATGAAGTGGTCGGTCCATTGTTTCCTTTGTTTCTCTTCTTTGGTAATCAAATTTCCTTCATCACCTTTTATCTTCTGCTTCACCATCCTCCTCTTCTTGCTGTTTCAGCTTCCATGTGTCCGTCGGGATCCATACCTTATCTTCTTTCTTCTTCCTTCCTAATACGGCTGTGCAGGTTTCTTTCCACATCTCTTTCAAAGACTTCCAGTGTTCTTCCACGGAGGTTTGCTTCTTCAGGGATGTTGCTCGATATCTCCCATTTTGTCTTGATGGCTGGCTGCCGTGAAGATTTCCTTTGTAGTTTCGTCCTTCAGTTTCCGAGTGTTGTACTTGAACTGTGGTCTATTATCAGCTTCCTTGAAGGCTTTCAACTTGATTTGGAAGGTTCCTTGCACTAGATAGTGGTCTGAGCCTACATCTGCTCTTCCTCTTGACCTTGTGTCAAGTCGGCTGCACCTCCACTTTCTTGAGATTGGGATAAAGTCGATCTGATTTTTAGTGCAGTGTGTCCTGGTGTCTGGTGAAATCAAATCCATGTCGCTTTGTGGATGTCCTTGTGCGTGAACACACTTTTACTCCCGCTTTCATCGAGAGAAAACACATCGGCCAATTGGCTTTGCAAAGGCTTTCACCAACTAGCGTCATTTCGCTTCCTCGATTCCAGCGAGGAATAATTTTGTTTTTATTTTTCATATTTTGTTTGTGCTTTGCAGTTTCTTTAGCGGTTAGTTTTGTTTTACGGGGCAGGGTTGCTAGCCGTATGCCCAACCTTCCCTCTTTACCCGGGCTTAGGACCGGCTAGTAACTAGTGTACTAGTTAACCAGGCAAGGTTTGCTTTCGTATACTTTTCGTAAAATATAGTTGCACTTGAACTTCGATTTACAAAAATTAATCTCTTTAATTGTGTGAAAAAACTCAGTTACAAACTCAAATGTACATCTTATTTCCATTCATTCAGAGTTTAAAATGATGATGTGAATTCATAGACGCTGTCAACAATCACTTCAAGTATATTTAATTTTTTTAGCTCTAAGTCAGACTATAGTTATTTCGCTTGATATTCAAATCGACGTAATAAAATGGGATTAAGCGTCTATACATTTATTTACTTTTTCAAGCCAATTCAAACTTACACCCAAAATATCAAGGAAAATCCAAACCCTTAATAAATGGGACACTGAAAATTGTAAACGAGCAAAAGCCAATATCTTCACAGAATTTTAAAGAAAATCAACCGAAAAACTGCAATACATCTGTATCAGATATGTCAAGAAAATCAACTGAATCACGTCTACAAAAAGATGATAGACAGTATTAGACAAATTTTAGGCAAGTATCGTATAATGGTATTGGGTTGGAGGCACCACTAGACTTGAAATCTCTCGAACAAAATATCCGTGAAAAAAATATCTCATTCACATGAAATTGATAAATACACACTGAAAGTTCTTAGTTTTCTTAAGTTTTCAGCATGAAATTGGTGCTAGATCTAGTTTGTGTTACTGTTAAAGTTTAAGAAGTTAATGATTAAAAGCCGAGGCAATACATAATACGTTGATTATGTGACACAATATTCATGAGTATAAATTTTTATTTCCAGGAGTTATGCAAATAACTGAGTTCCAGCACAGCATTGAAGTGCTACAGTATACAATCGTTACTCCAACAGATTCCGCGTAAAATTCAATACATAACTGGATACCCTTGCGCACTTAGCGCTACAAATTATTGAAATAGCAGCATTATTATTGCTGTCTTCAGGTTGGTATTCATCATGGACTCAAGTCAGCGGGAGAATCACTGGAAACCTGGGGGAAATGGGCATCTATTTCTTTCTACTATGGGACTCCTCAACAATGCGCCCGCATGACTTTCCCAGGGATCGAACCCAGGATCCTCAGGTCCCGCGGCCAGCACGCTACCGTTGACCCGCTAGATCATGACCCAATGGTCTATATTTCCTATTTCTATCAGTTCACGAGGTTGTTGTTTTGTTTAAAAGAATGAATTCTGAACAAAAACAGTTGTACCAAATGCGTCAAACAAATTAATGTAACATAATAAACACATGAAAAGGATAGTGACAGAAAAGAGCAGACACAAGAAGTAATACAGTGCTCAGAAAAATAATGTATTCATATACCTTCGAAAAGGTGCTCTTTACTCTTGTTTTTATCATTTTCGATATCAAATGGAACAAGAAAGCGACAACATGATCACTAAGGATTTCAATTCTGATAACGCCTTGAGCCATTGGAAACGATGATTCCTCGGACCCTATCTAGCGCCAAAGTATGCAAACCAACCACAACTACCCTTCATCCTACTTAACGTCATACACTGAGAATCTCTCTAACACTTCAAACCGGTCACATAGCTAGCAAACATTAAAATTATTGAAACATTCGTAAATTACTGTCTTACTCAACATGTACGTAGTTGCTTGGGTCCTTAAAATTCAAATAGTGTGCAGCCTTTGCTAGTTCCATATAAACCAATCACTGATACAATGCAAACATCTTACACGTACACAAACAGACGAAATCAATGTAGAAATTCGCACAGAAGTGCATCAGTTCGAATTGCCATACATCACATGAATGAAAAGAACAAGTGGGTGAAAAAAGAGTGATATCAACGTAGTCAAGGATGTATGAGACGTCAACACGTGAATACATCTGTGCCATTGTGATAGAGTTTTAACCATTTCACCAGGAGTCCGTAATCATTGGATCCTATTATCTCCAGGACACCAACCAGGTGGTCCAGACCTACCTACATAGCTCAAACCAGCAGTCACAAACTTCAAAAGCGATTTCACGCCTTCACCTAGCTACCCTAAGCTTTCTTCCAATCCAATCCACCTGACACTGCACCTGGAGGTAGGTTGTGTCATAGAATGCACAGGCTACTTGGATCGATGAAGATTGATAACCTCATCGAAGACTTACCTTGCTTACCTAGTACCCTTTCATCTAACCTTGAGATTGCTCACAAATACGTGAGCAATGCTGTGAATACACCAGTGTAAAAACCCGTTTTCTCTAAGAATCATCTATTTTCATCTATCTTACCTCAGTGTTACATTACAAGATAGAACGAACTGCATCACAGTATAATCATCGTTAAATAGGTAGTTGGATATCTCGCCCGTGTCAGAGATGATTTTGTTTGGGAAATGACAAATAGGTCTTCTGTATCTGAGTTTGGATATGGCCAGGAGCTGGCCCATGCATTTCACTAGCGTCTTCACTTAACAGAACAATGTGTTCAGTGTACTCAAACCAGCCAGATACTCTTCGGGGAGCAGACCAATTTCTGTGAAGTTAGGTTATGTCCATCCATACATGTGTAACGAAGTTGAACTGGAATAGTAACAGAAAGCGTCCCTAATAGACAGTGTTGGTTGTCGTCAATTCAGATGCCAACTTTACGCAGGCCTCTACCTTAAGTCAGTATGCGGGAGTTAGATCAATCAACTTTGCTTTTGAATCAAGGTAATCATAATACTTCTAAGCCTGATGTTTACGGGTCTAATTTCTCCAGCCTGGTTTCTAAAAGTAATGTGTGTTTTTAAAATCAGGAATAATGTTGACTGGTACCTGCTGCACGATGCAGGCGTTGATGTGTTGGGCGCATATTAAGTTGTCGATTTTCAAATTTTCTCCTAGATGAAAGACTCAAATATTTCGCAGTCACAAGCACTCGTTTTCAACCATTTTTTGATAAAATTCGGATATAAACGATTACGGTTAAGACACCAGAGAGCCTCGTAGTAGAAGTAAAGTCATTTTCTCGGGAATCACTACTATACAAGATTCCGGGGCTCAGTCTATGCCCCACCATGTTTATTCAGCACCAATCTGTGGAACCAAAGCTCACGTGCTACTCGCCTAGATGCTGAAATTAAGTCTTAATACTGGAGACCCCTTGTAGTTGGCTATATGTAGCTTAGGTTTGCACAAAACTGGCACTTATCCTTCATTTCGATCAAGCTTCTGCACAAATTCAAACCGTTTCGCATTTTTGCCTATTCGTCTTTTGTCCTGCTGTGTTGTAACTTGATGAATGGCGTAACAACTGAGTCCGTCGAGCAGTATGGCCAAGTAGAATATTGACATTGGATTATCTTGCATCCTCACTGCCATCGACATCGATAAGTGTGTTTCATTATGTGTTGAATATGGGTAAAAGACGATGCTAAATTTACGAAGCCATCAATACATTCCATTACATAGTAAGAAAGATCAAAATGAAGTGCCATGAGAATTGTAATATCATTTAAGCTTTGAAAACGTCCAAGTAATAAACATCAGATCTCCCAAGTTGCACTACAACCCTAATGATATCCATCGCCTCGAAAATAATGTTGGTTTATTCAATTTCCTTAAACTGAAATCACACTTAGTAGACCTAAGGTTTGTGAGGTCTAGTGGTCATACACGAGAACAAGACAGAAACAACAAGTAGATTCAGAGATAGTGTTCATCATGGACTAGCATCAGTTGAAAAACCATTGTAAACCTAGGAGCACTCGGCAGCTGTTTCATCTTAGTATGGGACTTCTCAGTAATGCGCACTCACAACCCCACAAGAAATCGAACGTATGACGATCAGGTCTCGTTCCAAGCGTGTTACAAACCATGCATTATGCATTGCCATCATAGAGTATTCGTCCTCAAACCTGATCTGAATTTGGCAACCGCCAAAACTGCAGCTCCCCTAACTCGTTGCTTCAGGAAGCTCGACTGTCAAACCTTCTGCCCCATAATTAGTTGATATCGACCACAACAGAAAGCGCTTGAAACGAACTTCAAGAATTGAAGCCAGATTTAGAATCAAGCGCGTATGGACTACTCTTGGTAGTTTCAAAGTCAAGGCAACAATTTAGACAAACAGATAGAAAATTAGCAAAGAATTTGACACAAAGAGCATCAATCTTAATTGCACATCCCACAGCAGTACAAAAAAATGAAGTGGATTGAAATGATATGTGTAACTAAAGGATATGAAAAAAGAAGATAACAACAAATGAGTGACTCTTTCTACCAGATGCACTCGACAGTTATCCTAGTATGAACTGACGACTTGAATGTATATTTCAGGCATCTAGGTTCAGGAGTTCGACGGGGACTATTCAGTCACAGATCTGACAAATTTCTAGCTAGCAACAACTTCCCGGTACACCTGTCACCGTTCTTCTGCCTGACTTTCTCCTGACACTCATGCTTGTATTCAAACACCTACCAGTTGTGAGTATATACACGAGTGCTGCGCTTTCTGTGACACCTGTCTGGACTCCGCCTTGATGTGTGCCAAGCTCACCGTTTATCTTGATGGTGAGCAGAACTGCGTCTTGAATAAGCAAATACAGGTAAAATGGTTGCAAATAGTACTGAAACTTGGTAGCAAACAAGCAAGATTCAAGGTTAACTGTCAAACTTCCAGTAAGTATAGATAAGCGTCGGTTGCACTAACAAGACCCATAGAACACATGAGTAAAGCTACTTGTGGTTTAGAAGAACATCCCAACAAGAAACAACGCATCTCTTTATGCATACTTCTGTTCGGACAAGCAGTAAGTACACTGGTGTACGTAAGTCCTTAGACAAGATCACGGGATCCGTGAGACCTGGTTTTCTGAACACGCGAGTCAGATTGAAGTAGAAACTGCACCTAGTACTGCTGGGAAGCCATCCCAGCTCATTTGACCCACTGGCAGAAAAAAGCCTAGTGTCATAGATTATTTGTGAAGATGATACACCGATCACCAACTTTCTTAAACGCCCGCAATACTGAGTTGAAGACGCAGTGATACTGTAACCACAGAATTCAACTGACTATTTGAAGGTCTCGCAGACTGAGTATCCCATCTCTGCATTAAGGTCATCGGTGAGTGTTAGGGTGGAGCACATAGGTAAATCAGTCGATGAGACACTGAATGAAGTAGCTGGAATACACTAAACATATCAAAATATCTACTTCGAAGTGCTACCCTGAATGACGTAGGAATAATCTCAGATAAAACTGCAGGTCCATTGAAATATGTCGCCAAAACATGAATTCAATAAGTGCTGACGTGAGTTGAATAAGGAAACCTAAAGCCCATAGACTGTTTGCTAGGAAACAGTAACTACTATCCTTAAATGATACAACCTGACGTATCCAATCCTTACCTTGTTTCAAAGTTTGCATACAAACCTAACTTACACCTGCTTTTCTTTTCAATAATATCCCTCTTACTCACTCCAACTTCCCTTTATTCCTGATGAATGACAACTGTGGACAATGAGACTTCATGTGACATTCTGTCTTCAT